CCCCCGAAACGCCATCGACGAGGCGCAGCTGCTAGATCGCATCCCGAAGCTGGGAAGCCGCCGCAAACGGACGAAAACGACCGAAGACCTAGAGCCTCGAATCGAAAACAACCCCATCGTAGAACCTCGACCCTATCCCCACTCACCGTTGCCCTTGAATGCTGCAAGGCTCAGACCCAGACATCCAGCAACTCCAATTATTCTTGATGCGTGGGCCCCAGAGGTCCAAACCACTTTCCCGGGGCTGGATTTTCGTCCCAATTTCTGGCGCTCCCGACGCGAGGGCCCCCAGAGGCCGAGAGCTGCAACACAATCCGGCCGCTCCGATTTGCTTGGAGCGTCGGATCTCTGGGTGAGCAGGCCTCCTCCTCCTCCTCCTCCTCCTCCTCCTCATCCTCCTCCTCCTCCTCCACCCCCTTCCTCCTCCTCCTCCTCCTCCTCCTCCTCCTCCTCCTTCTCCTCCTCCCCTCCTCCTCCTCCCCCTCCTCGCTCCTCCTCCTCCCTCCTCCTCCTCCTCCTCCTCCTCCTCCTCCTCCTCCTCCTCTCCTCCTCCTCCTCCCCTCCTCCTCCTCCAACTCCCTCCTCCTCCTCCTCCTCCTCCTCCTCCTCCTCCTCCTTTTGAAACGCTGCCCCCGACCTCGGCGGCGGGCCCGGGGCCACTAGCTGCCCGGGGGGCGCCGAGGCGGAGGGGAGCACCGACAGCAGCGCCTGGGGGCCGCAGGAGCCGCTCCTCGCGGCCCCGCGCGCGTGCGGTCCGCTATCCGGCTGCGAGGACCGCCTGCGGGCTCGGAGGGCCTCCTCCTCCTCCTCCTCCCTCCTCCTCCTTCTCCTCCCTCCTCCTCCTCCTCCTCCTCCTCCTCCTCCTCCTCCTCCTCCTCCTCCTCCTCCTCCTCCTCCGCCTCATCCCCCCCTCCTTCTCCTTCCTCTCTCCTCCTCCTCCTCCTCCGTCTCCTCCTCCTCCGCCTCATCCCCCCTCGTTCTCCTTCTCTTCTCCTCCTCCTCCCCCTCCTCCTCCTCCGCCTCCTCCTCCTCCGCCTCCTCCCCCTCCTCCTCCTCCTCCTCGCCGCTGCCCGTCTCCCTGGCATTCTCGCGTCGGGGCTCGAAGGCTTCGGGCCCCTGCTCGCATGAATTTCCAAAAACTCCGACGATCTCCAGGGATGCCGGCGCCGCGGTCCCCCTGGCACGAGCAGTGGCGAAGCGTCCTGGCTTGCTTATAAAAAATTCGAGCATTGAAATTTTGACAATTTTCGGCCTCTGGGGGCCCTCGCTGGGCCTCGGGGGCGTCAAAAAACGACTCGGGACGAAAAACCGGCCCCGGGGAAGTTGTCCAGACCTCTGGGGGCCAGGCATCAAAAAATTGGAGGAGCCGGATGTCTGGGCCCACCAAAGAATGTTCTAAGAGCCTGTGTGGCTTGCTCGAGATGTTCTTAGACCATGTTTGGCTGAGACAGTCCTGTTTACATGCATCGGGTTTTTGCTCTAAGAGCATCGCCTTGTTTTTGTTGGCTCTGAAACATTTCGTGGTAGGCCTGTGGGAATGCCCAGACGGTCGGTCCCTGCTCAACTGGCATTCTCGCGTCGGGGCTCGAAGCTTTTTGGCCCCTGTTCGCAGGTTCACCAGAAATCCGACGCTCCAAATCGGAGCGGCGGGGCTTGGAGCAGTTTTGGGCCTCCCATGGGGGCCCTCGCTGGCCTCGGGAGCGGGAAAAAATGACTCGGGACGAAAAACTGGCCTCGGGGAAATGGTCCGGACCTCTGGGGCCCACGCATCGAAAAAATTGGAGCAGCCGGATGTCTGGGTCTGAATCTCTGCGGTGCTTCTCGTCGCCACAGCTAAATGCGCCTCGAAATTCTGGTCCAGACGCGCCCCAGAACATGTCTTGGGGTCAATTGTCGACCCAAGGACCCTGACATCCTGGCGTCGTGGGGAAATCACGACGGCAAATGTTTGGCAACTGCCAGACTCTAGAAGCCCTCACAAGGCCCTGGGGCCGCGAACGACTTACCCCTGATGGAAAACCGGCACCCGGGAAAGGGCCGGGGCCTCCGGGTACCCCGCACAAGGAAAAATCAAAACGTCGGATGTCTGGGGAAGTGCCGGTGCCGCTGCTCGTCGAGCCCTGGTACTCTCGCGCCCCCGATACGACCACGATGGGACGTTCTTTTCCTCCTCCTCCTCCTCCTCCTCCTCCTCGTCCTCCTCCTCCTCCATTCCTTCTCCTTATAGATAACCGTTCCCTGTCGCGCCCCGAAGCAAGTTTTTAGGGCGGCCGGGCGTTTCGCCTGAGACTCCCTCACCATTTATGACTCTGAAGCTTACAAAATGACAACCGGTTCACAGATGGAGGGCGGGTCGTTTTCAAAATGTGGCTCTTGCCTTAGCGCCGCGCACATTAGTATTAGACATGTGCAAGAGTGCCACGGATTGAGGGCGGGCCGTTTTCAACATGTGGTTCTCGCATTAGCGCCGCGCACGTTCGTGTTCTAAAATTGCAAGAGCGTCAAGGATTGAGGGCGGACCGTTTTCAACATGTGGCTCTCGCTTTAGCACCGCGCACATCCATGTTAAACATTTGCAAGAGTTTCACGAGTTGAAGGCGGGTGGCTTTCACCATGTGGTTCTCGCCTAAGCGCCGCGCGCATCCGTCTTTTCACGAAGAAAAGCGCAAGAGCTTCACGGATTGACGGCTGGCCGTTTTCAAAATGTGGCTCTCGCGTTAGCGCCGCGCACATTCGTTTTCAACATGTGCAAGCGTCTCACGGGTTCCAATGATCAACGTAACAAAAAAGGTGTTTGGAAAGGGCGGGCACAACCGTTATGTCAATTCGTTGTGTTGAAGTCCCAAAATTGGCGTTTTGGCACGATTCTGGATCGAAAAATGTTTTGGCACGCTTCAGGATCTTCAAACTGTTGTCTTCCCACGACGCAATGCGCTCAATGGAAATGAACCGTTGTAGGAGCCGGTTAATTCCAACTGCGTTGATGACTCTGGGGGTTCCACTGGTCCTCTTCCTCCTCCTCCTCCTCCTCCTCCTCCTTCTCCTCTTTCTCATCCTCCATTCGTTTTCCTTATAAATAACTTTTTGCTGTCGCACCCCGTGGCCAGTTTTTAGGGCGGGCCACGCGTTTCGCCTGAGACTTCCTCATCATTTATGAATATGAAACTTAGACTTGGCGACAACTGCTCACATGGAAGGCGGGCCGTTTTCAAAATGTGGCTCTCGCCTTAACGCGGCGTGCATTCATTTTCAACATTTGCAAGAGCTTCACAGATTGAGGGCGGGTCGTTTTCAAAATGTGGCTCTCGCCTAAGCGCCGCGCACACTCGTTTCAACATTTGCAAGAACTTCACTGATTGAGGGCGGCTCCTTTTCAAAATGTGGTTTTCGCTTCAGCGCCGCGCACATTCGTTTTCAACATTTGCTAAAGTTTCACGGGTGCCCATCATCAGCGTACCACAAATGGTGTTTCGGAAGTGGAGGGATTCAGGACCATGCCGGCGTAACCCTTACATTGGTTCTCTGTTGAAGTCCTAGGGATGGCGTTCTGGCAAAATCCAGGATCGCCAAGACGCAACAGTCAGGTTGATCCGTGGCGTTGGAATCCTGAGATCCGCGTTTTCTATGCATCCGGGTCTTCAAACCGTTGTAGGGGCATATGAAGAGGGAGCTTGGAGGGAGGGTTTACTCCAACATCGTTGATGACTCTTGGGTTTACAGTGGTGTTCCTCCTCCACCTCCTCCTCCTCCTCCTTCTCCTCCTCCTCCTCCTCCTCCCCCTCGATCCTCCTCATCCTATTCCTCCTCCTCCTCCTCCGGCATAACTGGCGGCCCCCACGCTTGTCCGCCCCCCTGGCGCCCTCACCCGAGACGCCCGGCCGCTCCAGTCGGGGGGCGCTAATAAAAGTGCCCCTGGCACCCAAGGTGCCCCAGATTCTCGCTCGATTTGGGGGCCCCTTGGGCCCCCTGGGCCTCGTGAGGGGTGTTCTGGAGGACCTGGGGGCCTTTTTGGACATCCTGGGGGCACCTCGTCCCAGGGGCACTTCACGCCCGATCCGATCTTTCCGAAGCGTGGGCCCCGGAGGTCTGGGCGCCACTTCCCGCGGGGCCGGTGCCTCGCCCCAGGCGGTCACTTGCGGGCGCTCCCGGGGCCCGGCGAGGGGGGCCCCTGGTGGCCGCAATCTGCCCCAGATCCTGCCGTTCCAATTTTTGGAGGAGGAGGAGGAGGAGGAGGAGGAGGAGGAGGAGGAGGAGGAAAAGGAGGAGGAAGAGGAGGAGGAGGAGGAGGGAGGAGGAGGAGGAGGAGGAGGAGGAGAGGAGGAGGAGGAGGAGAAGAAGGAGGAGGAGAAGGAGGAGGAGGGAGGAGGAGGAGGAGGAGGAGGAGGAAAAGGGAGGAGGAAGAGAAGGAGGAGGAGGAGGAGGAGGAGGAGGGAGGAGGAGGGAGGAGGAGGAGGAGGAGGAAAAAGGAGGAAAAGGAGGAGGAGGAGAGGAGGAGGAGGAGAAGGAGGAGGAGGAGAAGGAGGAGGAGGGAGGAGGAGGAGGAAAAGGAGGAGAAGGAGGAGGAGGAGGAGGAGGAAAGAGAAGGCCTGCTCACCCAGAGATCCGAAGCCCCCAAAAAGTAGAAGCGGCGGCTCCAATTTCTTGGAGAATGGATGGGTGGAGAGGCCTTGGCGACCGCCTGCGCGCAGATGACCGCCAGGGCCCCAGATGTCCTTCAGTTGGGCCCCACGCCGCCGCGAGCACGCCACACAGACGCCGTGGCGACGGGGCCCCCGAAGCAGCCCAGACAAGCATCCGACCGACCCTGGCCTACTACCAAAGGGCAAGCTGGGAGGACGGAGGCCACCCCCCCCGGGACAAAAGCGGGCACTCCCAGCGGCCGCCAGCAGCCTCCCTCACCCCGACGGGGGAGCGCGACGGCCCCCCAAACCCACGCCGTGGTGCGCCGACCAAAATTTCGAAGCGGACCCAGCAGACAGAGCGAGGGCCCGCCCGAGCGCTCACCTCTCGCGAGTCGCCGCCCTGGCCAGCCTGGCCTTCGCGGCGAGACGAGCCCGCTTGGCCGCCTTCGCCTTCTCCAGCTCCCTGTAGGCGACCTGAGCCTCGAACTGCTCGAGGTCGGCGATGGCCCAGGTCTGGTACATGTGCCCCTGCGGCACCGCGAGGCGCCGCCTCCCGCCGACGACCGTGCGCTCGTCGATCGGGTCGTCGGGGGCGGCCTCGCTGAGGCCGTCTTGGGGCCGACCCCGCAAAATAACTCCAGCACCTCGACGCCCTTCCTGACGCCCGCGCCGGCGTCGATCGCCTCCGACCGCAGCGCGTGGCACTGCACGTCGGCCTTCAGCGCCGCCGCCTCCACGATGGCAGCGGTCTAAATCTGGGGCTCCTCCACCTCCTCCAGCGCCTCGCCGCCGTCGACGTCCTGGACCAGCTCGCTGCTCCCACGAAGGAGGGCCGCCTCGTTGGTCATCAGGTAGCGCTCGACGGCTCCGAGGTCCGCAGCGGTGCGACGGGAAGATGAAGCCGTGCAAGTCGTGCTGCGCGCCGTGCCAGGGCCACCGAAGGCCGCGCCTGGCTCGGCCGCCAGCTCGCCGACAGACCCGCCGAGGGACATCGCACGGCGGGCGTTGGGCAAAGAGCCGACGCCATCCTCGAGAACGAGGGTCGTGTCCACCACCTCCTGCGCGTCGAGCGCGGCAAAGTCGGCGGCGTTGAACGAGACGCCCCGCTGGACGGTGTGGCCCGCGTCGCGCGCGCCGTCGATGGAGGGCAGGGGTGGCTCGGCGGCAGCGGGTTGAGCGCGGGGAACAGCGCCGGCGCTGGCGCCGCCGTCCTCGTCGCCCCCGCCGCCACACCTCCGCCAGCGCGCTCCCGACGCCAAGGGCGGAGGCCTCGGTTCGGCAGCGCGCCTCACGCGCTCGGCCAGCGCGAAGACGATGTTTTGCGGCACGCTGCGCCCGCGGCGGCGCGCAAGGGCCCAGCGGAACGGCACCGCATAGGAAGCAGTGCGCGCAGACGGCGCGCGGCGGACGGGCGCCGCCGTTACCGTCGGCGGCCTCCTCGCGCTGGGCCGCCGCCCACCAGGATGAAGACCAGCTCCAGCAGGACGGCGAAGAGGAAGGCGGGCGCCGTCGCGTACGTCAGCTCCACGAGGGTGCCGAGGCTGACCTCCGCGTCGGCCCAGCCGTGCAGACCCCTGCAGGCGATGCCTAGCACCTCGCTGGATGCTGTTGAGCTCCGCCTTGCCAGCCTTCTGGATGACCGTGACGGCGGTGCTGAAGACGTGCGCCGCCGTGTTGCGCCGTTGCCTGCCCGGCGTCGGCACGCAGGGAACCAGCACGCTCCCCTGCTCCGCAGCCAGGCCCGCCGCGAGGATCGGCGCTTCGAGGGCCAACCGCCCGACCAGCTCGCCCCTCAGCTTGTCGTCTGCCTCCCCCGTCGCGTCCGTGCCCGCCAGGGCCACAGCCTGCTGCGCCGCCGCCTCGTGCACCTCCAGGGTATTCCTGAGTTCGGCCTCGGGCTCCGCGACCCTGGATGCGAGCGCCTTCACGCGCTCGAGGGCGGCCCACTGGCGGCCAGCGCGCGGCCGCCTGCCTGGCGCGCCGCGCAGGCCACAACGACCCGCCGCCGCTGCCGGCTGCTCCGCCGCCTCGGGCGCGGCCAGGCAGCCGACCGCCGCCATCTCCCAAGCGAGTCTCCGCGGTAGAGCGCGGGGCGGACGCGGCCGAGGCCGGGCCGAGAACGGCTTGAGCCTAAATGGCGACAGAGGAGGAGGAGGAGGAGGAGCGAACGTCGCTCCAGAGGAAGAGTCGCCTACCTACCCGTGCGTGCACGTGCGGCATCCAGGCAACGAAGTAAGTGCTGTGGCCCAGAACCAGGATGCGCCGAAATGATTGCGTGCAACTGGTGCGTCAGGAGGAGGAGGAGGAGGAGGAGGAGGAGGAGGAGGAAATTCTCACAGCCGAAAGCTGCCAAAATGGTTTTTGGAGCGTCGGATCTATGGGGGGAAAGGGGAGCGGCCCAGTCGGCCTCTACGAGGGGCCACGCCGTGGCAGAAGCCGCGGCGTCGGAGGTTCGCGCTCCGGGAGAGCCTTTTTTCTTTATCGGGAGCGGCCAAGAGGGGGGTGTCCAAGAAGGGGGGGGGTGCAAATCATGACCGGCGGCATGTGCGCGGCCCAGCTGGGGGGCCAGGGACGCAATGAAATGGGAGGAGGCGCCATGAGATCTGGGGAAAAATCATGGCCCCCGCCATGACATCCCCCCCCCCCCCTAGTCACCACCCCCCTCTTTGCCGCCCCCGACTTTCAAGAAGGGGCATCAGCATAGACTTCTGGCGCTCCGCGCGGGCTTCTTGGATCTCTGCGCTGGGCCCGGCCGCGCGCCAGGGGCGGCGCCGGAGGCGAACCTCCGACGCGCCGCGGCTTCTGCCACGGCGCGGCCCCCCCCATGGAGGCCGACTGGGCTGAAGGGGCCCTGGGACACAGAAATAAATACACGCAAATAACAGGATTCCCCTATATTTCCTTATATTTTCTGGGTTTTCGTCTTCCCCCTCACTTCCCATCTTTTCCCATATTTTCTCGGGAATCGACGATTAATTGTGTCTGCGGGTTTCTTTCCCTCCTGATGGGCCTCTTCCCGGGGGCCAGGCCGGGGCTCGTCATCCTGGGCCCCTCCCCCCAGGGAGCCGATCTCCCAAAAACGATTCTCGCTGCCGTGGCCCAAATGTTCGCCCCGAGGCCCTGGGCGGAGCGCACGCCTTGAAGGAGCCTCGGGGCTGCAGCCGTGGCGCCCAGCAGCCGTGGCGACCATAGCAGCCCTCCTGGGGCCCTGCAGGGCAATTTTCTGGCCCCGGAGCGTGTTTGCCGATCCTCGGCCGCCGATGGGTTGGCCCCCAGAGATGCGACGCCCCAAGAAGGTTGGGGCGGCGGGACTTTGGCAGTCTGTTCCGCTTCTGGGGGGACTCGCCGGGCCTCGGGAGCGCAAGAGGCGATTCGGGATGAAAAGCCCGCCCCGCAGGGAAGTGGTCCAGACCCCCGGAGTCCACGCATCGACAAAATCAGAGCGGCTGGACGTCTGGGTAGGCCGATCCTTGGCCCTGGCTGGCCAGGGTCAGTCCCTCAAAAACAATCCCCTAACCCTTTGGGAGGGGTCATCAGTGAGGCTACGTCTTCATCGTGTCATTAGGGTTTTGGGGCTCTTTATCCTCGGTGGATGGTGGGCGTGACGGGGGTATGACATAGCTTTAGGTCGGGCGTGTCCTCCTGCAGGCGGATTTTGGACGAAACACAGAAAATAGTCCCACCAGCAAAATCACAAAAAAATGTTCAACACCACTCAACAGATCGTTCCCATACCATTTGTTAGATTAAGTTTGAATATCCTGACTACCTACCATCGAAGACCCGAATTCAATGTGATCTTTCAGTGTTCCCCGACCCACCCCCCACTGGAAATGGAGGGCAAATCGGGGCCTCTGGGTTGGGTTGGGGTGTTTGGTGGGCGGTGATGTTCCTCGATGGTCCCCGCTGGGGGAAAAGCGCACCCGTCCGAGCGATGCCAAGAAGAAGCCCTTTCGCTCCCTCTCATGAGGCTGTCCCTGGCAGCAGCCGTGGCTGCCCCCCCCCGGGCGGGGAAGCCCACCGTTAGAGGCCTCCTAGATGGAGCCCGAGTAGATAGAGTCGGAGGATCGCTTCACATCGCCGATGCATCGGCGACGTCGGCGTGGACAAAATCGGGCTCCGCATCGAACCGCATCGCCGATGCATCGGCGATGCGGCGCGAACCTCCGACCCCGTCTACTCCGACCCCATCCAGGATAGACGAGCGCGTTCCAACACTCGCAAGGAAGCTACTCGCAAATGGCCTGGATCCCCCGCGGAGGATCTACGAAAAAATACGTCGAGGCAGACATGTGGTTTTCGGGCGTTTGCGAGTAGGCACTTTGCGAGTAGTGGGACGCGCTCGGTGACAGGAAGCCTAGAGAACCGTGCCGTCGCCCCCGAGCGGAGGGACGGGCCCGACCTCACGCGACGTGGCTGGCGTGCGCTCCCGACCCCGCTCGTCCCTGTGCGGGGGGGCGGCGCGGCGCCCCGGGAGCTGGTGCTCTCGGAGGGCCTCCCGCGGGGCCCGCGAGGCCCAATTGTTTTTTTTTGGGGGTGTACAACACGCCGGGAGGTGTCTCGCCATTGTCGGCCTCGGGGGGCCCCTGCCGGGCCTCGGGGCCGTCCAAAAAAAATCGAGATGAAAGGCCCGTCCCTGGGAATGGGCACAGACCTCTGGGGGTCGACGTAACGAAGGAATCATGACATCGGGGGTCTGGGTCCGTCAGGTGAAAGGAGCGCTGGTGCGCTCCTGAACGACGCTACGGCAGGAAAGCCAGGTGATCATCCGGCGCAGAATGCAGGCCGATGCAGTGCCACCCAGGGGCCGAAAGCGGAAGAAAACCGCGGGCTGGAAACACACTTAGTCGGAGATCTGGGGGAGCATCGGCATCGGTGTCTGCTTGCTCCCCCCCAATGGCCTGAGGCCCGCCCCTGGCCCAGGGGCACCAGCCCCGGCGGGCCCGGCGAGCAGGCTGCTCCTGCGCGGCCCCTTGCCGTGGGTCACGCCGAGGTGGGAGCCGCAGTGGGTGGACGGCCGGTGCTTGCCCCCCTTTGGTGGGGCGACGAAGTCTATGGATACGCATCCAGTGCCCCTGCCCTGCGGGCATCACGACGGGAAGCACCTGGCTGTTTGTAGGCCTCTGGGGGCCCCTGCCGGGCCGCGGTCAAACAGCAGCCCGGGAAGACAGACCAGTCCTGGTGAAGAAGTCCAGGCCTCTGGGAAGCCACGTTTTGACAAAACACGAAGGTATGATCTTATTCCATCTGGGCGTTTTCTCTCGACATCGGACCTCGGGGGCCGCTTTCTGGCCCTGGGGCCATCAACAACGGATCCGGGGCGAAAAGCTACCCCCAGGAAAGCGGTCGGAGCCGCGGATGGAACAATTCGAGTAAGGGATCGACTGCATAATCGATCTGCCCCGGAAGTGACTTCTCCGTCAAGTGCGAGGACATGCGCCGAACGCGCCATCTGTTGTGAGTTCGATGCTATCGGCGGAGCACTCGGAGAATGCATGTTCCTCGCAACCTCGACCCAGAGATCCATTCTGGCGCAAACCGCTTCCGTGGTCTCGAGCCCGCTTTCGAGACGTCACGTCGGCGGACGTCAGGGCACCCAGAGCCCCGGCGTCAGACATTTGTCATCACGCCGACCCCTCGAGGTCTCGACCCACCGGCTTTCCCTCCCGAGCCGGTTTGTTGACGGTCTCGAAGGCCGGCCCGGGGCCCCCCGGAGGCCGAACATCGCAAGACACCTCCCGTCGTGATTGTGCTCCCTGCCCGAGGGGAGCTACCTAGGCACAGGGCCGCTGCCCCCGGCCAGGCCCGCTATATCCCTCGGCCCCCGGAGCGGCAAGAGGACGGTCGCCTTTCGACCTGGCCTATCGGTCGGGCGCGTCCCCCTGCAGGCGGATTTGGGAGGAAAGCCCAAACAGAGTCCAAAACACATTCAAGCATAGTAAAAACATTTTAGAATCGAAACATCGTCCCCGGACTATGTTTTGACTATCTTTGCATATTCTCATATTCTGCCTTTAGAGGACATGCCCCACTTGTAGAGACCTCCTAGATGGGGTCGGAGTAGATGGTGTCGGAGGATCGCGCCGCATCGCCGATACATCGGCGATGAATCAGTGATGCATCGGCGATGCATCGGCGATGCACCAGCGATGCATCGTCGACGGGGGCGATGCATCTGCGACGTCGACGTGAAGCAAATCGGGCTCCACATCGAGCCGCATTGGCTATGCATCGGCGATGCGGAGCGATCCTCCGACCCCATCCAGGAGCCCTAGAACGTGAGGCCTGGCCACGGGGAGGCCATGGCACACCCCCCGTGCCCGGGGGCAGCCCCCCCCGGGGAGGCGGCCTGGCGCCAGGGACAGCGTGGTGGCACGCGGAGCCGGGCCCTCTGCGGAGGGAGGTCGTGGCTCGCAGCCCGCCCAGACCCAGACATGACCGCGTCGTGAAAAAAAAAACGTCAGGACGGCAAGGTTTTGCGCGCACAGGTGGGGGGAGGGGGGGGGGCTTCTTAGAAGCATGCTGCTTCTTAGAAGGCGCTGGCCTTGCATCTATAGATAAGGCCCGCGCCTTCTAAGAAGCAGGGGTGCTTCTAAGAAGCCCTCCCCCCTCCCCCCAACCCCCCTCTCCGCGTGGCTGAAGGACGGCGAGGTTTCTATGTTCGGCCTCTGGAGACCCTCGCCGGGCCCCGGGGCAGTCCAGAAACGACTCGGGACGAAGCGCCGGTCCGGGGGGGAGAGGGTCGGGACTTCCAGGGACGCCGCCCTGAAAACGTAAGGTTCGGTCGGGCATGTCTTCCCACACAGGCGGATTTTGGGCGAAAATGTAAGAATACAAAACAAGTACACCGAAATAGTCAAAGTATAATCAAAAAGGCGTCCCCCGTATTTCTGGACTATTCTTTTAACTCCTGTAGAGGGGCAGGCCCGACTGAAAAAAATAAGGACGTCGCACGTCTGGGGGGAGGAGCCGCGGTCGGGAGTCGGGGGCCCCGCCCATCCCCGCCGATGTGAGCGAGGGGTGGGGGGGAGAAACCAGGGGAGGGCATCCCGCCCAGAGGGGAGCCGCGATCGGGAAGCAGGCTGCCGGCCTCGAACGTACCCCTATCCCTAAGACTGACACGCCAGAAGGCGATGACAATCTTAGGGGTTCGCCCTGAAAAAAGAAGGGAATCCCTAAGATTGGCATCGTGATGAGGAGGTGCCCAGCACAGGGATAGGGATATGTTCCAGGCTGGTAAGCAGGGGCCCCGCCCAGCCCGGCGGGGGAGAAGCGAGGGGAGGCAGGCGAGGAGCGAGGCGAGCCCCGCAGACGCGCACGCCCCGTCCGCAGGAGGCGCTGGCGTCGTAGGCTCCTCTGGGGCGGTTTTCGGGCCGTCTAGGAGGCCCCCCTGGGGCTGCCTTGGGCTGTCGGGAGCCCGAAGGAAGTGCCAACGCGGAAATCCTTCCCATGCGAAAAGATTCCTTCTCGGGGGAACGAATATTGACATAAACATAAAAACTCGGAGGTCCGCGCGGGTTTCTCGGATCCGCGCTGGACCCCCCTCCCTAGCGCGCGGAGCGCACCAGGGGCGGCGCCGGAAGCGCCGCCAAGGGGGGGGGTCCAGCGCGGATCCGAGAAGTCCGCACGGACCTCCGCGTTTTTATGCTTATGCCACTCTTCACTCCCATATTTTTGGCGGAAGGATCAAGGGGGGAGGATCGCCCCGCGGGGCGTGGGGAGAGGCGATGTCGAACTCGAAAGCATTTCTGCGGCGGCGCTTGCGGATTTCCCCGCACGCGTAAGGAAATGCGACAATAAAAGCAGCGATGCTGCGTCTTCGGGGGCCCTTAAGGGCCCCCGAAGACGCCCCAAGAGGACACCCCAATTGGGGTGGCCTCTTGGGGCGTCTTCGGGGGCCTCTCGGCGGCCTCTCGGGGACCTCCTGAGAGCGTCTTGGAAGTCTCCGGGAGGACCCTGGAGGTATGCTGGGAGCCGCGCCCCCCGAGAGAAGGCCCCAGGGCTCCTATTGGCCCTCTCTTGGGGCTCTCTCGGGGCTCTCTCGGGGCCCTCTCGCGTAAGTGTTGTGTGGGAGCCCCTTGGGCTGTCTTGCGAGCCTCCTGGGCCGCCTCAGGGCCCTCCAGGGCTCGTTCGCGAGGCCCCTGCAGGGAGCTCTCTGGAGCCTTCATCAGAGGCCCGCCGGCGCCCAGGGCCAAAGCTTGACGCTGGGGGGAAGGGAGGCTTGCAGGAGTGGGCCCCCCTGCGAGGCTCGGGGACCAGGTCGATGGTTAACCCTGTGCTGGTGAGAAAAAAGATTCCCGGGTGATAAGGGATAATGCTGTTCGGGGTCCAAGAAGGATAATCAACTATGTCCCGGAGATATCGATGTTAGGATGCCTGGATCGACCTTCCCGAGGATCAGGGCTGCGATGAATTTTGGAGGGGGATGCTATATGATCCGCGGGTTGCGGTGATATGATATCTCGTCGTCCGACCTGGCACCCTCGGAGCTGCGAGGCGCGCAGGTGCATGGTCGTCTCGAGGCGGGAGAGCTCTTTGAAGGTCGGCACGCAGATGAACTTGAGGAAGCCCACCTGGAGACCGTTTTTACCTTTCCGCGACAGCCCAAGTTATCTGGTGGGGTGTGGGGGGGCGGTGAAGATGCCGACCGATAACTTTTAGCTTTGGGCAGCTCCACGCATGCCCGCGCATACCAGTACTGCATACCCCATTCGGACCTGCGCAACCGACAAGGTCAAGTTATCCTGGGGGGGGGCGGGCGGGCGCGATGACCCTCGTCCTCCTCCTCCTCCTCCTCCTCCTCCACATCCTCCTCCTCCTCCTCCTCCTCCTCCTCCTCCTCCTCCTCCTCCTCCTCCTCCTCCTCCATCTCCTCATCCTCCATCTCCTCCTCCTCCTCGCCCTCCCCTCCTGGGTTATCACCGGAGCCTCAAAAAAAGCCCGCCTGCGACGTGGCCAGCACGAAGCCCTCGCGCTCGCACAGCGGGGAGACTGGCAGACCCATGCGCCTCTCCTCGTCCCCCTGCGCATGGAACTCCTGCACCACCCGGAGGGACCAGTCCTGGTGCAGGGTCCACCTGGTACGCCGAAGGACATACTGGTACTACAGGAGGAGGAGGAGGAGGAGGAGGAGGAGGAGGAGGAGGAGGAGGAGGAGGGGGAGGAGGAGGAGGAGGAGGAGAAGGAGGGGAGGAGGGAGGAGGGAGGAGGATGTTAGGTTCGGAGATAGGGGGTTAGGTGGAGGAGGAGGAGGAGGAGGAGGAGGAGGAGGTGGAGGAGGAGGAGGAGGAGGAGGAGGAGGAGGATGTGCCCCCCTTGGAGGCGCACGTCCGAACCGAAAGCGTGGCACAAACATGTTCTGGCAGCTTGCTACCAGGACAGTTTGGCCAGAGAGCATCCGCCACCGAGCACAGGCTATGAGATTTACAGTGGGGGCCAGTCCACAAGAAACCTTCCACAAGAAACCCAACCCTGAGACCCCAGCACGTCCATTGATTTGTTGGTGTGGATACGTCACGCTTCCCATAGGAAAACGATCGAAACCCCAGAAACCCAGGGCATCCTGGAGGCAAGCAAAGTGTCTCTTGGCATGGGCCTCCACTGTATCAGCGCGCGCGCGTCGCCCCTGGGGTGCAGACGCACACATACTAAATGCAGCACCTGGAACAGGAGCTGCAAAGGTCAAAATGACCACTCCTGGCGGTTGGCTTAGCCATCCACCGCAGGGCGATTTTGTGCGTGGCAGTACTCGGGAGCACAGCCAGGGAGGCCAGACACCCCTCACAAGCCTTCCCTTGCTCGCGGAAGTCAAGTCCGCGAGGTGTGCCGATCAGGATGCACCCAATGACAGGCTTCCCAGTAGGAGTCGTGACCGCACCCCCCGATGCGGCGAGGACTATAAAGTCAAGGCACTAGGCCTACACTCCCTGGGTCGGCTGCCACGGACCGCCGTCACGGCACACTTGCGTCTGCTGGAGGCCCCCTCTACCTCCTTGGTCTTGATGCCCTCCGTCGCCTCTGGGGAAAGACGGCCGTCGACGGATACTGCCAGCATCAAGTTACACCTGGCCGCCACGAGGAGGCTTGCAGTCCGACTTTTCGGCCAGGTAAATGCAGCACCCCGCAGGTGCGGATAGAGTGAGCGGGGCGGGAGCAGGTGGGTCGCGGGTGAGTCGCGTGTGGGTCGGGGAGTGGCTCGCGTGGCGGGTCGCGGGTGCGTCGCGGAGTGGGTCGCGGGTGGGACGACGACAACAAACAGACAGACAAGCAGAATCCGCGCAGCGGAACTCAACTTCACTTCAGCCACGTACTCTGGGACAGCGGATGATTCTGAACGGCCGTTCGACCACCTCTCTCTCTCACTATGAGAAGTACAGTTTGGGTGATGCCGACCACCCCTTCGCCGAGTGCCCGATGTCGGCAGCCTTGAGCAGCATGCACAGCGCCTGCTGCTGGTCGGCTGGGTCGTTCAGGGGGTCGAAGCTGTCTGCGCCGATCCTGACGCGGAAGGTGGAGAGGTCCTCGAAGGGGCCCAGGGACACACAAATAAACATACAGTAATCCCCGGATGTCCCACATGTTCCCATAGTTTCTGTGTCTTCCTCTTCCCCCCCCGCCACTTCCCGTAGTTTCCCATCTGTTCCTGGGGATCGACGGTGACTTGTGTCTGTGTGTTTTTTTTCCCTCCTGGGTCCTCCAGGTGCTTCGAGGGGTCGGTGGTCAGGACGAGCGCCACGATCAGCTGGCGGACATGGGGGCCGTGCTCCGAGGGCAGCCCGCCAAGGAGCTTCTCCCTCAGCGGCCCCGTCTCCGCCCGGTGGTCCTGCTCCACGAGCCGCACGAGGGAGGACGCGTGGAAGCCCTCCATCACGCTCCTTCGGGGCCCACACATCTACGCCACCACCACCTCCCTCACCCCCTCCCTCTCCCAGGAAGGAGGCGGGGAGGAGCGGGGCAGAGGAGGGAGGAGGCACCGACGTTGTGGTGGTGGTGGTGGTGGTGGTGGTGGTGGTGGTGGTGGTGGCGGTGGTGGTATACACCCTTGGGGCCCGCAGCTCCTGTCGTTGTAGGTCACGGCGAGCGCGTGGCGCGTGGCGACGAGGAAGAGGTTGTTGCGCCCGAAGTGGCCCACGTCGTGCCCCAGCGCCGCGACGATGCTGCCGATGCGGCTGATGTCGGACATCGCGGTGTCCTTGTGCTGCCAGATCTCGCTCCTGGTCTTCTGTTGCTCCCAATCGTACTTACGGGCCACGTCCCAGAAAGCCCAGAAACGTGTCGAAACAGTGTCGGAACAGTGTCGCCTCCCAGGGCCCGACGCTACGAAATCCTAAGTTTCGGTGCTTTCTTGGTGCTCGAAATTCTTTTTGGTGGCCGAGGCTACAGCAGGTTGGAACCTCATCATCCTGGTCACGAGGAAGTAGAACGAGTTCGCCACGTCCGCGGCGTGGGCGTTGTTGTGGTACGAGATCGTCGGCTCGTAGCCGGCCTCCAACAGCTCCAGGAAGCCCGCCAACGCTCCCCTCGGCAGGATGGAGAAGGTCCGCAGCAGCTCGAAGCCGACAATCTGAACGATGTTCCTTTGGCATGGGATTGAAAATTACACCAAAGAAAAACCCCACTCAGTGGATGGCTTGATGAGATCGATCGATGGTGAGATCGATTGAGTGAGATGAATAGGGAGATCGGTCATGAGATCGATAATGCATCGTGGGATCGAAAAGAAATCGATAAGGAGATCGACCGGAAGCCCGGGAACCCAAAACCCACCGAAACCGGCCCGGAACCAATAACCGGGAACCCGGGAACCAGGACCCGGGAACCCGGGAACCCATCCTGCTACCAAAATCGGCGGGAAACTTTCGCCAAATTTTTCAACTTCCGCTATAGGACCCCTTCAGCGCAAGCACTGCTTAGGGAAGAACATCCCGAGGGAGACGGGCTCATGGACCCCGGGGCTCTCCCGCCAGGGACCGGCTTTCCCTCCGGATCGATCCGTGAAGGCCCCGGGGCTCGGAGCGGGCCCCGAGAGCATGGAGAACAGCGAAAAACCTGGAGTGCGGAAACCGAGAGTTCCCGAGACCACTACAGTCGGGGCGTTGACCTGAGGAACCCTAAATAAGGAACGAGGCCCCTTTTTCCCATAAGTTACACTTCGATCTCCCATGGAAAACCTCATGAAAACCTAAGGCAAGCTGTAGAACAATCAAGGAACACGGAGCCCCTCCCCAACGAAAAGGGGTCCTTCTTCAGCGCCCCGACTCTACTTCAGAGCTTCGCGGCGAATCCAGCTGTGGCGAGGAGGGCCGCCCAGGAGGCCCTAGAAGGTTATAAAAAGAGAGAGAGAGAGAAGGGCAGCTGTAACGGTACCATCTTCTGATGGGCAACGACAAGGGAGGACTGGCATTGGGGGGGGGGACGTACATCGACCTGGAGTCGCCGATACGTCGCCAATAGATGGCTTAGGTCGGGCACGTCCCACTACAGGCGGATTTTTGGAAGTATACAAATACTCCGAAAATGTCAAAAAATCGTCCCCTGAATATTTTTGGCCTATTTTTGAATACTCCTCCTGTAGAGGGACAGGCCCAACTTACCCTATCGTTGCCCCTGATCTCCTCCTCTGATAAAGTACACGTTTCCCTCAGAACCCCTTCTCAGACCTGCGACGTCCTGATAATTGTTTCTCAGGACGGCGCCCCTGGAAGTCCCAACCCTTCCCCCGGGACCGGTGTTTCGTCCCGAGTCGCTTTGTTGACGGTCCCGAGGCCCGGCGAGGGCCCCCCCGGGCCGAAAATCTACAAAAACCTGCCGTCCTGATTTTTTTAAAGGGGCCCTGGGACACACAAATACATGGACACAAATCCAAGGATTCCCTATATTTCTTCTTATTTTCTGGATTTTCGTCTTCCCCCCACTTCCCACAGTTTCTCATATTTTCGTGGGGATCGACGATTCATTGTCTGTGTGTGTTTTCCCCCCCCCCATTATCTACGACGCGATGTCGTGTCTGGGTTTCCTTCTCCGAGAGCTCCTGTGCCTGTCGCGCGTCCGGATGGCGTCGAAGTCCCACTCCCCGACCCGGAGGTCCGCGCGCACGCCCGCCACCGTCTTGGTGAGCCGGCTGCCGCGCCCGAGGTCGTCCAGGGAGGAGGCGGTGGACGAGCGAGACACCGGCGAGGAGTCCTGGAGGAGCAGATGCGGCGGCGAGCCAGGGGGGGGGGAAGCGAGGAGGAGAAGGCCTTCTCAGCAGGCTTGGGAGCCCCCCGGCCTTCCGAGGGGTTTTCCATGGGCCTTCCCCGAAAAGACAAAAAACAAACACTTCTCAGGAGGCGCGAGGGCTTCTGAGAAGTTCTGCCGCCTTCTGGGAAGGCCTTCTCCTTCTGCACATGGGGGATTTCGGAAACCCCGAGCCCAAAAACGTTTCCATCTCTTGGAGGTGCATGTTTTACTCCCGTCGCCTTCCGCCGCTCTTCCGCCCGCTTCCGCCGGCGGAAGCGGCCTCGTCTTACTTCCGCCGACCTTCCGCCACCTTCCGCCGCGGAAGAGATGACAACTCCTTCTACCCTCAAAGACGAGGCCATGTTTGGAACGCCCCACACGCATGCCAGAAAACATAAAACCCTGAGATCACGGCTGGCGTCGCAGTGTGTTCGAGCAGGGCGTCTTCGCCCAATCCCACTGGCCCTCCGGACGTAGGTGGCTGAACGAACTTTGTACTCTCTTTCTCTTTTTTTTTCTCTCTCTCTCTCTCTCTGCCCAAACCCATCCTGCCCCTGCTCGGGGGAGGAGGAGGAGGAGGAGGAGGAGGAGGAGGAGGAGGAGGAGGAGAAGGGAGGAGGAGGAGGAGGAGGAGGAGGAGGAGGAGGAGGAGGAGGAGGAGGAGGAGGAGGAGGGGGGGAGAGGAGGAGGAGGAGGAGGAGGAGGAGGAGGAGGAGGAGGAGTGCAGGTACCCTGAAGAAAGAGAAGAGGGCATGGGAGGAGGAGGAGGAGGAGGAGGAGGAGGAGGAGGAGGAAGAGGAGGAGGAGGAGGAGGGAGGAGTGGCTTACCCTTTCCCCTACCCCCTCCCCTGGGTCTGGACGGGGCGCCCCGTGAGGGGTCAGAGCGTCCAGGATGGCCCAGGATGGCTCCGAGAGGGCCTCCGAGAGGGCCCGAGGTGGCCTGCAAGATGCCTCAAGATACCTCAACAAATGGTTCAAGGTAGCCTCCGATACACATCCAGGAGGCATCAAGACGGCCACAAGACGGTTTCAAGTGCCCTCCAAGCCCTCCGCAAAACAGCCAGAATCCCTCAAGTCACTGACGGGAATAAGCGTTGGTTGCCTTCTCGCCGTTCCGCTTGCGCTGAGCACTTGAGGCCTCAAGATGGCCGCAAGGCGGTCCAAGAGAGCACCAAGAGGGCCCCAAGAGGGCCCCAAGAGCGCCCCAACAGAGCCCCCAAACGCCCTTTTTGAGCCTCGGATGGGGGGGATTTGAATTTCCGACCCCCCTCGTTTGACCCATGCGGGCCAAGATGGCCCCAAGAGGCCTCCCAGACCCATTCATGAGCGCCAAGAGGGCCCCAGGACCCCCAAAATGAGCCCCAAGAGGGCCCCAAGAGTGCCCCAAGAGGCCCCACGGGGGCCCACAGAGAGCCCCTCAAATGGCCTTCGTCGTTCTTCAAGAACCTCCCACAACAACATACTTCCAAAGCCCGACTTCTCATCCTCTTTGTCATCGTCCTTTCCTTCCCTCCTCCTTTCCTACCTCCTCCCTCCTCCTCCTCCTGCTGCTCCTCCTCCTCCTCCTCCTCCTCCTCCTCATCATCATCATCAGCATCATCATCAATATCTTCCTCGTGCCGCATTCCTCCTCCTCCTCCTCCTCCTCCTCCTCCTCCTCATTCTCCTCCTCCTCCTCCTCTGCCCACTCCTCCGTCTTCTGTTTTTTTCCTTCTCGTCCTCCTCCTTCCCCTCCTGCTCTTCCCGCGTCGAAGGCCAGAATTACAGCCAGAACGTGCGCGACGCGGGTCGGGGCCACCAGCTGGGTCCTCCTCACCTCCATATCTTTCGTGGGTTCGTCAGCAAGCTATTAGAGCGTACGAACAATCTGGGGCCAAAACCTACGAGGAGCTGCTTCTGTGGTACAAGGAATGGTTTTGCAAAGCGTCGCTGGAGAAGGCCTGGGACCAGGTGCGTCTCTTCCGCACAAAGTGCTACGACCAGAACAAGAAGAAGGTGCACCTCAGCCTCCAGAACGTGGACCAGACTGAGCAGATGCCGATCCAGCTGGAAGGCTCCGACGCGAGCTCAGTGCCTTCGGGCACGCGTTTGCGCGACCTGTTCGCCAGGGCCCTGCAAGAGGTGGGCGGGCGGCGCGCGGTCGGGGCCGCCCCGCCAGGGGCCATGGAAGAAATGCGTCAACATAGTCTACCTGAGTAAGTACGTTTGTTGGACCCCCTGTCGGTATGCACTGCTCACCTCCTGCGCTGTCAGTCTCCCAGTATTCACTGCTCACCTCCTACGCTGGCGTTCGCCAGACTTCGGGGCAAAGGGTGCCAGCTGGGGTGACGTTCTCACAGACTCAGGAGGCAGAGGGTACCAGCCGACGGGGCCACCTACGGAGTTTGATGGTGGCTCTGGTACTAAATATCGACCCGAACTGAACGCCTACGGCTTGGTTCCCTACTCAAGTGGCTTGGTCACTTCATTACGCACTGGATTTCATACACTACCTTTTCTGTCGGGGGTGCCGCGTACCGCTTGTCTGGTTTGAGATATGCTACTACGTGTGCCACCTCCGCGAGCGCCGACGCCCTCACCATTCAGCTGGTCGAAGTGCCGACGGCGTACTCTCCGCTCTTCGTCTTCCCTTCCGTGTTCTACGTGCATGTGTGCCTGGACTCGTTCCAGGCTTGAGGTGCTGCCACCGCTGCCGTGTTGCCGCCGTGCCGCCTGCTTGTTTCTACAGTCAGTTGGTATATATGTCCGTGTAGCGCGTTGTACCCATACTTGTCGGCGCGACGGTTCCCCAGGCTTTGTGTTAAGCCTGTTGGGGCCTGTCTAGGCCCTCTCGCTTTTTCCTGGTTTAAACCCAGCTTCGGCTGGCAGCCGTGCAAGAATGATACTGTTTTCCGCTGCCCCTGTCCATATGCATTCTGAGAGTGCTTACGCTTTATTTTTTGTCGAGGGCCTGCTCAGGCCTGCCCCGCCTCGGACCTGTGGGAAATCAGAGACACGGCGCGCCTCTATGCCGCATTATTATGATTACTCCTGCTCTTCCTCCCCATTCACCCTCCTACCCCCAAGGTGGTCCTAAGAGGTCGAGCATGGCTCAAGATAGCCTCCGACAGACCTCCAAGAGGCCTCAAGACAGCCACAAGATGGTCCAAGATAGCTGAGCATGGTTCAGGACAGCCTCCGACAGCCTCTAACCGAACATGGCTCACGACAGCCTCCAAGAGGCCTCAAGAAAGCCTCCAATCGTGTCTGGACCGGATAAGTGGGATACTTTGTGGTCAACAGGCTCGCGAGACGGGTCTAAAGCCGTCCGGACACTAGTCGGGCCGCGACTAGGCAGCAGGAAAAGAAAGGCAAGCGAAGCGAGCGAGCGGGCAGCCACAGCTGGTTGGGATAGGCGCAGCGTCCAGAAATTCGGACCATGAGGCCCTCACATATCGATCCGGCGGGAAACATAAGTCAGAAAAATGGGGTCCCGTGCTCCAGCCGTGACTTCTACGATGTGCAATGTGGACGACGATCAAAAACGGGCCTTACGCGAGATGCCACAGCGACCTCACGCGGCCGCTTACGCGGGCCGCCGTCGCGGCACGCCACACTGGAGACGAGGGCGCTTACGGACGAGCTTACGCGGGAAGGCGCGGGCCTTTTCTATAGATATCAGGCTGGCGAATTCTAAGAAGCAACCTCCTCCTAAGAGGCCCTCCCCCCTCCCTCCACCACCCCCGGGCGCGCCGCCAAGAACACGCACACACAGACACACACACACACACACACACCCGCACCACACACACACACACACCCGCACACACCCGCACACACACACACACACACACACACACACACACACACACACACACACACACACACACACACACACACACACACACGCACGCACGCACGCACGCACGCACGCACGCACGCACGCACGCACGCACGCACGCACGCACGCACGCACGCACGCACGCACGCACGCACGCACGCACGCATGCACACACACACACATGCACACACACACATGCACACACACGCGCACACGCACGCACACGCACATGCGCACACACGCACACACCCGGCTGGGTGCACACGCGCGACCAAAAACCTGTGGAGGCCGCGCGCTGGATGTATATACGCACGCGGGCGAAGGCCCCTGGCGCACCACGGCCAGGGACGGGCAACACACTAAAACAAAAAAATACCCGATCCAGGATCGTCATTCTCGTCATTCTCGTCACCATCGTCAGCTCCCTGGGGGGCTGCGAACTGCGCAGTCGTCGCTACTCCCGCGGGCTCCTGGGAGGCACAGCGCGGTGGGCGGGCACGCGGACCCAGACGGGACCGCGCTGCTCCCTGGGGGGCTGCGACTTGCGCAGCTGTCACCACTTCCGCGGGCTCCTGGGAGGTCCAGCGGAGCCGGGGGCGACGCGCAAGCATCCGAGCCCTCGCTGCTCCGCGGTCTGCTGCGAACTGCGCAGCTGTCGCCACTTCCATGGGCTCCTGAGAGGTCCAGCGGAGTCGGGGGCCACGCGGATCAAGGCCGAGACGTCGCGGCTCCCTGGGAGGCTACGACGGGCGCAATTGTCGCCACTCTCGCAGGCTCCTGGGAGGCACGGCGGAGAGGAGGGCAGCGCAGATCGTGCATATCTGCCGATGTGTTCCTGCGCATGGACCGCTCAAGCAAATATCCGCCTCGCGTGGAGAAGAGGTTGGGTGCGTCTCGGGTCATTTTACTCGATGGTTCAAAGATGGGGTCCTGTTGCCTCAAACAACGTAAATTAAACCTTTGACCCCTTCCTATCCCTAGGGCCCTATTCCTCAGGACCCCATCTCTGAACCACCGATTTCCTCCCCAGTAACACGCCACCTCTGCGCCAACCTTCGGGGATCTACTGACATGGGTCAATCTAAACCAGGGTTAGTCAGACCTTGCAGGATCCTATAACATACTGCAGGATCCTGCAGGAGTCTGCACCCAAGCCTGGGTCAGTGCAACCCCGGCTCTGCAGGATCCTGCAAGATCCGGCGCTCTGACTGACCCCCGTTTGCATCGACCCCAGTCTCTTGTGCCCCGATGAAGGCGGGCTCCCCAGAGTCGATCCTGCATCCCGAGACGTGTCTGCGCAGTCCCAGGGGCAAGTCGTTGCAGCGGTGCTCTGGAAAACTGCAGCACGCATGGCGCAGCGCTTCTCAGAGTAACACCACTGGGGTACCAGAGTGGGGGAATTCACGTTGCTTTGGACACGAGGCGGGTTCCCTGGCGCCGGTCCTTCATCCCGAGACGTGTTGGCACGGTCCCGGGGCCAGCCGAAGGCCCCTGGAGGCCGAACATGGCCAGAGACCTCCCGTCGCGAGTTGGGTGTCCATGGCGCGAGCATGTCTGAATATGACCAGCTCCGAAGATCCTGAACCCGAAAACGTTGCCATCTTCCGCCGGCCGTCCGCCGGCTACCGCTGGCCTTGAACCGGCGGAGGCAGCGTGCCTCCACCGACTTTCCGCCGCCTTCCGCCGAGGGGGAGATGGCAACTCCCTCCGTCCTCGAAGGCGAGGCCCTCTCTGAAGCGCCCCACACAGCAGCCCTCCGTGCGACCCCCCCGTGCGCGGCCCCTGGCCTGCGGCGCGTGCTGCAGCCAGCTCGACAGGAACTGCGCGTCCAGGCACTCGGCGTCCCTGGCGAGCTGGTCGTGGACCTCTCGGCCCCGGACCGGCCGGCACCGGCCCGGGAGACATTGGATCGGGTCGGAACGCGCGTGAGTTCGCAGCGGGACCGATACTGCAGAGGGATCTGAGGTCAGAAATCGCGACGCGAGATGGCTCGGCTTGGGGTGCAGTCTTCGTCGATCGTGGATGGCCCCGCTGTGCCCCGAGGGCTTCCGCGGGTCCCCGGGGCAGTCGGGGGGCATGAGCTCTTCGTGAAGCGACTCCTGGCAGGCCGCTGCCGTCAAATGCGCCTGCTGCATCGGACAGGGCCGATCGGATCGAAACGGCCCCCGCCTCGGCGGAGTTCATCTCCCTGTCGCACAGCTGCGCCGCAAGGTTCCCCAGCACCTGGCGGGCTGCTCGCCCCCGCTCGGCTCGCTCGCGGGCGCGCCGATCGCCCGCGGGGCTCGAGCGCCCACGCTGCCCGCCCGCGGCCCTGCCCGCCTGCTCGCCTGACAGGCCACGGGCGGGGAACTCTTGATCGCTCCGGAGGCACCGAGGAGGCCCCAGCCGTCTCCTGATAAGCCGCCACTTCCGCCACCGCATAGCCGAAGCCAGAGGCGGGTGGCGCCTCCGAACTAGCCTGCACCCTGCCGAACGAGTTACAGCGATCCCGAGCGGGCTCCGCCCGCTCGGATGCGGTCCGCCGACCCGAGGGGGCGACCAGGCATCTCCAGACCTGTTTGACACTGAACCTGGCAGGAGACCTGGCCAAGTACGAGAGCACTCTGGAGCCCCATGACCCCGCAGGCGGCGGACCCTACAGCCAACTGAAAGGCGAGCAGTCACCCGCGTTTCTCCACTGCCACACACAACACACCACGCGCCACTCACGACAACCACCATCGACGACCACCCTCCTCCTCCGCCTTCTCCTCCTCATCTTCCTCCGCCTCCTCCTTCTTTTCCTCCTCCTCCTAAACGTCCAACCTCCTCCGCTTCCTCGTCCTCCAGACCTCCTAAACTCCACACCACCTCCTCCAGCTCCTCCTCCTCCTCCTCCTCCTCCTTCTCTCCTCCTCCTCCTCCTCCTCCTAACGTCCTCCTCCTCCTTCTGCTCCTCCTCCTCTTCCTCTTCCTCCTCCTCACTCCTCCTCCTCAACCTCCTCCTCCTCCTCCTCCTCCTCCTCCTCCTAACCTACTCAGCCTCCTCCTCGTCAACCTCCTCCACATCATCATAGTCATCATCATCATCGTCATCATCATCAGCATCATCATCATCAGCATCATCATCATCATAATCGTCATCATCATCATCATCATCAGCATCATCATCACCATCATCATCGTCATCATCGTCATCATCATCATCATCATCATCATCATCATCATCATCGGCATCATCAGCAGCAGCAGCATCATCATCATCATCAACATCATCATCAGCAACATCATCCTCATCATCATCAGCAGCATCATCATAATCCAAATCATCATCGTCCTACTCATCATCATCAGCAGCATCATCATCAGAAAACACATCATCATCAGCATCCACATTATCATCAGCACCATCATCATCATCATCATCATCATCATCATCATCATCATCATCATCATCATCATCTACATCAGCAGCAGCAACATCATCATCATCATTGACAGCATCATCAGCATCAGCAGCATCATCATCATCAACATCAACATCAACAGCATCATCGTCAGCATCAGCATCAGCATCAGCATCATGACCAGTAGCATCAACATCATCAGCATCATCGTCAGCAACAGCAGCACCATCAGCATCAGCAGCAGCATCATCATCAGCAGCATAATTGTCATCAGCATCATCCAAAATTCCACATCCTCCTCCTCCCTTTCCACCTTCTCCTCCTAGCCTCCTCCTCCTCCTTCTCCTCCTCCTCCTCCCAATCTCCTCCTCTTCTTCCTCTTCCTCCTCCTCTTCCTCTTCCTCCTCCCCCCGAAACCTGGAGCCTCGTGGCATGAAGTTGTCCTGAACGTTGCTGTTCTCCTCCTCCTCCTCCTCCTTCTCCTCTTCCTCCTCTTCCTCCCCCCCCCTCATCCTAGCCTCCCCCTCCTCCTCTTCCTCCTCCTCTTCCTCCTCCTCCTCCTCCTCCTCCTCCTCTCTGTCCTCCTCCCTCCTCCTCCTCCTCCTCCTCCTTCTCCTCCTCCTCAATTCCTTCTCCTTGTGCATAACTTCTCCCTGTCGCACCCCGAGGCCAGTCTTGTGGGCGGGCGGGGCCTTTAGCCTGCGACTTCCGCACCATGTATGGCCCCGAAGCTTAAACCATTGCCACAGCTTCACAGATGGAGGGCGGCTCGTTTTCAACATGTGGCTCTCGCTCTCCCGCCGCGCACGTTCCTCTCAAGCACGTGTAAGGGCTTCACGGGTTGAGGGCGGGTACTTTTCAACATGTGGCTCTCGCCTTAGCGCAGCGCGCATCCGCTTTTTACACAGTGCAAGAGTTTCACAGATGTCCGTGGTCAGCGTATCAGGAATGGCGTTCTGGAAAGATTCAGCGCGATGAGGGTGCAACAACTACGTTGGTTCGCGGTGTTGAAGTCCCAATGATGGCGTTCTGGCACGATTCAGGATCGTCAAGACGCAACAGTCAGGTTGATCCGTGGCGTTGGAATCTCGAGAACAATGTTATGGCATGCTTCAAGGTCTTTGAGCGGTTGCCTTCCAACGAGGGGATTCCCTCCGTGAAAATGAACCGTTGTAGGGGCCCATGAAGAGGGAGCTCTGAGGGAGGGCTTGTTCCAACGTCGTTGATGACTCTTGGGTTTAGATGGTCCTCCTCCTTCTTTTCCTCCTCCTCAGACTCCTCCTGCTGAAAACCTGAAAACCCACAGGCAGATAATCATGCCAGACGTTGCCCTCCTCCTCCTCCTCCTCCTCCTCCTCCTCGTCATCATCATCATCATCATCCTGCTCCTCCTGCTCCTCCTGCTCCTCCTGCTCCTCCTCCTCCTCCTCCTCCTCCTCCTCCTCCTCCTCCTCCTCCTCCCCCTCCTCCCCCTCCTCCTCCTTCCTCGTCCCTCCCAGCAAACAGGGCCGCGCCATCATGTCCACAGCCGCCACTGCGATGGGCATCCCTGGCCCTACGGCAACCCCGACGGGGCGGCAGGTCCCGGGCGCCCGGGCTTCGGAGCCCTGCGCCAAGTGGCTGCTCCTGCAATGTGCAGCCAAGAACTGGCGGCTCTTAAGGATGCCTTGGGCGCCACAGCCGTCTCAGAGCGTTCCGGAAAGTCCTGAGAGAACGCTGCGGGACGCTCTGGAACGGACTCATCCTCGTCCTGGCCCCGTCCGACTGCAGCCCCTCCTCATGGCAACGCAGAGCCCTAGAGTCCTACTAAAGTAGGGGCCCGACCACAAGAAACCTTTCACAATAAAAACCCAAGCCTGAGACCCCAGGACGTCCATTGATTTCTGGCGTGGGAACGCCACGCTCTCCACAGCAGAACCATCGAACCCGAGAAACCCAGGGCACCCTGGAAAGCAGGGTGTCTCTTGGCATGGGCCTCCACTGTACCGCCTCTTCCCTCGGTCGCCTGACGTCGAGCGCGGCGCCCCGCGCTGCGCCAAGCTGCGCCGCGCTCGGCCACCTCTTGGCGCCCCTGCGGATGCCAAGCTGCAGCGGGGCGGCTGGCCGAGGCTGCGGCGCGCGATCCTCCTCGCGCCCCTGTGGGGGCGCCCCGGCGCTCCTTTGTCTGGCCAGCGGCGACGCAGGGCACGAAGCGTCTCGCAGCAAGAGCCTGGATGCGACAGAGCTGTCTGCGCACCGAAGCTGACAATTTGGAGCAGGGACAGACCGTCCCGGCACTCCTATAGGCCTATCACGACATGTTCTTAGAACCCAAACATGTTCAGTCGCAGCCAGAAGTGCAAGTGCTCTGAGAACATGTCGCGCAGACCACAAAAGGTTCTTAGAACATTTTCTGCTGAGCCTATAGGCGAGCCGGGACGCTTCGCCACTGCTTGAACAATGGCGCGACCCCGGAGGGCACCGCGCTCAAAGCACGCGACCCGGCGACCCATACATCGGACGTCGTGCTGTTTGCGCAACTCGGCCCTCCAGAGATCCAGACCCCTTCCTGGGGACCAGCTCTTCATCCTGAGTCGCTGCTTGACGGTGCCGCCTCCTCCTCCTCCTCCTCCTCCTCCTCCTCCTCCCTCCTCCTCCTCCTCCTCCTCCCTCCTCCTCCTCCTCCTCCTCCTCATATTTTTCCTCCTCCTCCTCCTCCTCCTCCTCCTCCTCCTCATATTTTTCCTCCTCCTCCTTCCTCCTCCTCCTCCTGCTCCGCCTCCTCCTCCCCCTCCTCCTCCTCCTCCTCTCCCTAGCTTTCTTCGCGGCGCGAGGACGACGGGGGCTACGCGCAGCAGCGCTCCTCCTCGCCACCCCTCGCCGACCACTTCTCGGCGCCCGCCCCGAGCCCGGAGGCGCCCCGGGTGCTCGAGAAGCGCCGGAGGCACCACCGTGGCGGGCCCCGCGGAGACAGCGAGCCCCCTCCCGCACCCGACCTCTTCCTCATTCGGCGTCGTCTCGGCTGCCCCCCCCCATCCGATGCCGTCCTTTTTTCACAGCGTTGGGTCGGGCGCGTCCTCCTTCAGGCGGAGGTTTTGGACACAAACATGCCCCCCAAGTGCCCAAGCATGAATAAAGCATCGTCCCCAGACTATGTTTGCACTATTTTTGAATGTTCCCCCTGTAGAGGGACAGGCCCGACTTAAATCATAGCGCGGCTGCTCACTGGCCAAGAGGGATGGACCCTGTCCCAGGAACCCGCTCTGCTCCCGCGCAGCGTCCTGACGGCCCCAGGGCCCCGCAAGGGCCCCAGGACGCAGAGGATTGCCCAACACGTGGAAAACAAAACGTGTACCGATACTGCCACTCCCCTCCTCCTCCTCCTCCTCCTCCTCCTCCTCCTCCTCCTCCTCCTCCTCCAACTCCTCCAACTCCTCTTCCTCCTCCTCCTCCTCCTCCTTCTCCTCCTCCTCCTCCTCCTCCTCCTCCTCCTCGGACCCCTCCTGGGGTCCGTTCTGAACAGGACTTCGAGGCGCACCCAGCCGTGGCGACGGGGAGCGCGTCACGGCACATCTCGGCGGCGAGCGAGGGGGGGCAGTGAGAAGGAGAAGGCCTGCTCGGAAGGTGCGGAGGTGCCCCGGCCTTCCGAGAAGTCCTCTGAGCCTTCCCCGAAACCCCAAAAACACTTCTCGGAAGGCGCGGGTGCCTCCGAGGAGCCCCGCCGCCTTCTGACAAGGCCTTCTCCCTCTCCCCTCCCCCCCTCGCTCTCCGCCGAGACCAGGACTTCGAGGCGCACCCACCCGTGGCGACGGGGAGCGTGTAGCGGCACATCAGCACCTTGCCCCGCTCACTATGAATGAGCCTCAGTGGCTCCACGACCCGATGAAGCCAGTGGTACTCTACCTCCCTCTTCATACTCGATGGGGAGGAGATTACGAGGATTAGGAGGAGGAGCAGGAGGAGGAGGAAGAGGAGGAGGAGGAGGAGGAGGAGGAGGAGGAGGAGGAAGAAGAGGGGGGAGGAGGAGGAGGAGGAGGAGGAGGAGGAGGAGGAGGAGGAGGAGGAAACGAGGAGGAGGAGGAGGAGAAGGAGGAGAGGAGGTTCGGAGGAGGTTCGGAGGAGAGGAGGAGGAGGAGAAGGAGGAGGAGAAGGAGGAGGAGGAGGAGGAGGAGGAGGAGTAGGAGGACGAGGACGAGGAGTGAGGAGGAGGGGGAGGCAGGGGAGGAGATGAGGAGGAGGAGGAAAGGAGGAGGAGGACGTTAGTAGGAGGAGGAGGAGGAGGAGGAGGAGGAGGAGGAGGAGGAGGGGAGGAGGAGGAGTTAGGAGGAAGGCATGGAGGAGGAGGAGGAGGTCAGGAGGATGAGGAGGAGGAGGAGGAGGAGCTCCTCCTCAAGGGCAGGCGCCTCGCAAAGGTGGCCCACCGCGTCCGCCAGCCTGCCCGCGCTGGGCCCGGCCGACCCCAGGAGCGGGTCCACCCGCTCGAGCATCAGCCTGCCGCGGAACTCCTCCTCCTCGATGATCCTCTCGGGCGGAAGCCAAAACGGACCCAGACCGAAGGATTGCAAAAAACTCTGGGTTTTTTGCAATCCTTGGGTTTTTTGCAATCCTGGGTTTTTTGCGATCGCGTCTTAAAAAAAAAAGGGACGGGAGGTTTGGGGCTCTTGTCGGCCTCGGGGGGCCCTCCTCGCCGGGGCCTCGGGAGAGCCAAAAGACGACGCAGGGCGAAGAGAACGGTCCCGGGGAAAGGGTCGGGACTTCCCGGGACGCCCTCCCGGGTGATCCTCTCACAAGGGGCGAAGAATGACAGAAGCATAAAAACTCGGAGGTCCGCGCGGATTTCTCGGATCCGCGCTGGGCATCCCTGGCGGCGCCTCCGGCGCCGCACCTGGCGCGATCCGAGAAATCCGTGCGGACACCCGAATCTTATTTGTTGTATCTCGAGCGGAAACCAAAACGGAGGGATCTCCGCCGAAGGGTACGGCAGGTTCGTGTCGTGCCGACTTCTGAACGATCGGCCCTTCCCGAAGCGTCAGATCGTTCAGCATCGACCAATTCTGGGTCGCCGGTGGCGTTCACCATTGAAAGCCGGCGGCGGGGTCGCTGCCAGTCGACACGACGCGAATCTTTGGAGGCCTGGAAATGGTCACCAACACCAAGACAGGGGGCTGCCTCCACAGTGGGAAGATGATCCTAGATTTCGGTGTTGGTGGTAATATTTCGGTCACCTTGGAAGCCAAAATATGTCCACCATCACCGAGATCGGGATCTTCTTCCCTCGGTGGAGGAACACCCCCGATACTGGTGTTGGCGTCAACCTCTGGGCTACCGATTTTTTACGCGTCGCCGATAGGCCCTGGGGCAATCAAGGAACGAATCCGAAGGAGAGGCCAGCCCCAGCGACAAATCTGGTCGAGAGCTCGGGGGGTCCACGCTGTAAAAAACGTGCTGGGCGTCGGGGGCCTTGGAAGTTTGGCAGGAGGAGGAGGAGGAGGAGGAGGAGGAGGAGGAGGAGGAGCAGGAGGAGGGTGGACCGGGTGGGGAGGCGGGAATGGGCTGTCCTTCAGGACCAGGGTGGAGGGGCTAGATCGCGTGGGTGGTGGTCTCGGCGTGCGTGTTAGGGGGGGGGGGCAGAAAGGGCGTCAGGCGGGGTGCCATTGGGGGTGGGCATTGAACAATCCAGAGTAGCGAGGAGGTAGTGGGGGTGAGTGGGGCCATTGAACCATCTGGACGAGTAGCGAGCAGGGCAGGGAGGGTGGGGTGCGGCCCAGACCCTTGGATACCAGACGTGTTTTCGGTCACGATCGGTAGCGACCGATCGGGGCTCCCAAGCGGTCGCGACCGATCGTGACAGGTTGGTCGCGACTGATCGGTCGCGACCGATTTTGAAGCAAATCAGTCGCGACCGACCCTGGAGTTTGAAGCAAAATCGGTAGAGACCGATCTTGTCGGTCGCGACTGGTGCGGGGGGCGAACCCGCGAACCCACCTCACGCGGCCCCCTTTCCAGGCACCCCTGGGCCCGCACTGGTGGACCGAAGGGGGCGGGGCGGGCCTGGTCGGGCGTGAACTACCCTGGCTCAGCGCAGACCCGGCTCAGCGCAAACCCGGCTCAGCCAACTCTGCGCAACCCCAGCTCAACGCAAAACCGCTTCAGCCCATCAGGGGGATTTCCCAGAAACCTGGCTCAGGGCCCACGAGCGGCTTCGGGGATCTGCTGACCTGGGCCAATCCAGACCCGGGTCAGTCAGGCGTTGCAGGATCCGGCGCCCAAGCCCGGGTCAGTGCGACCCTGGCTCTGCAGGATCCTGCAACTCTGGCTCACCCCGGCTTGCATTGACCCCTGTCTCAAAGCTCGTGATCGGCTACCAGACCCAGCTCAGCCCAAACCCGGCTCTGCAGGACCATGCCCAGACATGCTCTGCCCTGTTTTTCTCAGGACGGCGTCCCTGGAAGTCCCGACCTTTCCCCAGACCGGTTGTCCGTCCTGCATCGTTTTATTGACGGTCCCGACCGAGGCCGGGCGGGTTCCCCGGGGCCGAGAATAGCCAAAAACCTCCCGTCCCGATTTTGGAACGACGCGATCGTGTCTGGGTGCAGGCCCCGTTGGACGCGGAACCTCGGGGCCCGACGCCCGCGGCACGCGGCAGCTCTCGTGCAGCCCAACTGCTGCCAGAAGGAGCGCTGGAGGAGCAAAGAGAGGCCCAGGTGGGCCCCAGAAGCGCCCGGGTGCACGAGGAGCGCTACACGAAGAGCGAAGGAAGAACCTCAGGAACAGCGATCCTCGCGCGAGCCCGAGCCGTTCCTTATCTCGGCGCCTTGGCTGCAACGCCCCTTTGCTCGGCCCGCCTTTCGGACCCGTCGCTCGTTCATCCTGCCTGGAGTGGAGGAGCACAACGCGGAGTCTTAGAAGAGCAAGGCACAACGCATGAGCACAGCCTACATAACCTTCCAAAGGTCAGACCGAATTTCTCTGGGGCGGCGCTGGCTTGCCTCTCCACGCTCCTCTCCTGGCACGCGGAGCGCGACAGGGGGCACCACGGCCGGGCGCCGCCAGGGGAGGGGGGGGAGGTCCACCGACGACCCGAGAGCCCCGCGCGAGCCTCCGGGACTGCACCCGCGTGCGACCTTTCTCCAGCCTCGGCCCCCCGATCCTCACGACCTGCTCCACGCGGTTCGCGTGGGTGTCCCGGCAGTCCTCTGCGCAGAGGCGCGCACATAGGAGAAGAGAAAACGCCATACACGAAAAAGCTGTTGGTGTTCCGCGCGGATTTCTTGGATCTGCGCTGGACCCCCTCCCTGGCGTGCGGAGCGCGCCTGGGGCGGCGCCGCCGCGGAGGCCCGGCACAATTTTCAAAGAGATCCGAGCGGAGCGCCAGCAGTCTATGTTTATGGTTATTCCCCACATCCCAAGTGGGATTCTTGCTTTGTCTGGACGCCCCGCGCAGGAACGCACAGGAGCACACGCTACATCATCACCCACTCACTCGCTCACTCACTTTCGTCATCATCACTGGTTCACTCAGTCATCACGTCGCCATCACTCACACACATATTTACCACCATCAACATCAGTAGCATCATCATCACCACATCATCATCATCAACAACATCAGTAGCACCATCACCATCACTCACCCACACACTCACTCACTCATTCACTCAGGCGGGGAGCTCGTGTGTGAGTGAATTGTGAGGAAGTCTCAGGCGGGAGCCCTCTTCTTATGGGGCCCGCATTTCATGTTTATAATCCGAGCGGGTCACCTTCGAACCTGTAGCCGTCCTCACTTTTGGTTTCCTGAAGCGTGGGGGGAATATCAGGCGGGAGGCTCGTCTGTGGGCGAATTGCGAGGAAGTCTCAGGCGGGAGCCCTCTTCTTATGGGACCCGCACTTCACATGTTTAATCCGAGCGGGTCATCCTCGAACCTGTAACTGTCCTCACTTTTGGACGCCTGAGGCCTGAATATGGGGGAAGTATCAACCAGGAGCCTCGTCTGTAAGTGAACTGTGAGAAAGTCTCAGGCGGGAGCCCTCCCCCTATGGGGCCCGCATGTCATGTCTATAATCCGAGCGGGCCACCTTCGAACCTGCAACCGTCCTCACTTTTGGGCTCCTGAGGCCTGCGTATGGGGGACGTATCAAGCGGAAGCCTAGTCTGTGAGGGAACTGTGAGGAAGTCTCAGGCGGGAGCCCCCTTCCTATGGGGACCACATTTTATGTCTTTAATCCGAGCGGGTCATCCTCGAACCTGTAATTGTCTATTTGGGCATACCCCTCACACGCTTCGTGGCCCCATGGGGAGCTCCACCGAAGGCCCGAATGGCAAAATTCGCATGGCGGCCCCGCCCCATTTCGGCACACCCCTCACATGCGTGGTGGCCCCACAGCTCCATCGAAGGCCCCAGTGGCAACGTTCGCATGGCACGATAGCAAACATTTCGGCGCACCCCTCACGCGTTTCGTGGCCCCACAGGGAGCTCCACCAAAGGCGGGGCTCACAACTGCGGCACCCACAATTGAATCTGGTTCGGTCCTTCGCCTGGATAATGTTTTTAATCCGAGCGCGTCTTCCTCAACCCTGTAACTGTCGTCACATTGGGGCTCCCGACGCCTGAATATGGAGGAAACATCAGGCGTGGAGCCTCGTCTGTGAGTGGACTGTGAGGAAGTCTCAGGCGGGAGCCCCTTCCCTATGCGCTCTTCAGAAGGCGATTCGCCCGACCCATCAGGTGAGGAGGAAGAAAAGGAACAGGAGACGGCGGCCGGGCGCACGAGAAAACCCTTGCGTCTGGGCCAGGGGTGGTAACCCATCCTCGGTCGAAGCGGGGGCAGGGGGAAACCCTTTTCTCCGGGCTGGCGGTGGTAACCCATCGTCAGCCGAATCGGGGGCAGGGGGGAGCCCTTGTCTTCGGGCTGGCGGTGGTAACCCATCGTCGGCTTGGCCCGCGGGGTTGTCCCAACGGCCGCGCGACGCGGCCATTCGAGAATGCGCCCGCGCTGGCCGAGGCGGCGACGGCGTCAAGGAACATCGACGCTCGCGCTCTTGCAATAGACAGGAGAGGAGGTGGTGGGTGACGAAACAAACAGCAGGAGGGCGAGGCAAGGGCAACGCGGGAAGCGGGTGAGGGCCCGGCGCCAGGGCGAGAATGATAATGACGCGTAGAAGACTGTAAGGGCGCTTCACGAATCGCGAGGACGGCAGTGAAGGTTATTTGCAGATTCGCAGAAAAAAACTGTTCATGCGGGGTCTTTCCGTCGGAGTCATGGTTTCTTCGAGCAAAAGCCGCCACCAAGCGCGGCCAGTGCCGTCCAGGGTCCCGGCGTTGTGTGTACGGAGGAGGAAGAGGAGAAAAATGGCGGGGGAGGGGGAGGGGGAGGAGGAGGAGAAGGAGGAGGAAGAGGAGGAGGAGGAGGGAGGAGGAGGAGGAGAAGGATGGCGGAGGAGGAGAAGGAGGAGGAGGAAGAGGAGGAGGAGGGAGGAGGAGGAGGAGAGGAGGAGGACGAGGAGGATGTGGAGGAGGAGGTAAAAGACACAATGTCTGGGTGCCCCCGCGGTACTGGCCGAGGCCAGGCAGGCACAAACGCCGCACCGGGGCCCATGTCTGCCCTGGCCAGGTATGACTCCGTCTTAGAATAAAAGAAGTTTGATCATAAAAAGGCTACTAACAAAAAAACATATCAACAATAAGAAGAAAAAAAGGAGGAGGAGGAGGAGGAGAAGGATAATACGAATGAGGAGAAGAAAGAGGAGGGTAATCAGGAGAAGAAGAAGGAGGAGGATAAGGAAAACAATAATAGTGATGAGAAAAAGAAGAAGAAAGAGAAGGAGGAGAAGGAGGAGGATAAGAAGAAGAAGAAGAAGGAGAAGAAAAAGACAAATAATAAGCCACAACATGTTCAAACTTTCGGGCATCCGTGCGGATTCCTTGGACTGGCGCTGACTCCCACCCTTGCCCCCCCCTGGCAAGCGACGGGCGCCAGGGGCGGCGCTGGAGGCGCCCCCCCGGGGGTCCAGCGCGACCCGAGAGATCCGCACGGACCTCCCACAATGCATATTTACGGTAGGAGCTCGACCACAAGAAACCTTCCACAAGAAACACAACCCTGAGACCCCAGGACGTCGCTTGATTTGTTTCGTGTGAGAAGGTCATTCTTTCCATAGCGAAGCCATCGACACCCAAGAAACCCAGGGCACCCTGGAGGCAAGCAGGGTGTGTCTGGGCATGGCTTTCCACTGCATGCTATACCTTACTCTTCGAGTAAGGAGTCTAGAATGGCCGATGCCAGGAAGACGTATAGTTACTCCACGCCAGGGCCCAGGATGGCCCCTGCCGAGGCACGGCGGTGGTGGATAGGTGCTTTCTGAAGAAGTTCTCAGAGATGACTCATCAGAAGCGTCCAGGCGCTTTCCAGAGGCCTCCAAAGGCCTCCGATGAAGGCCCTCGGAGGGTCCTTCGCGAAGACCCCCAGAGGTCTGCAGAGGTCTCCCGAGTTCTCCCCGAAGGCCTCCGAAGGCCTTCCGAAGGGCCTTCCGACGGCTCTCCAAGACCCTTCCGACGGCTTCTCCCAAAGCCTCCAAGAGCACTCCGAAGGTCTCCCAAGAGCCTTCGGAAGGCCTTCCGAAGAGCCTTCCGACGGCTCTCACGAAGGTCTTCCGAAGAGCCTTCCGAAGGCCCTCTGAAAAGCCATCCGAAGGGTCCGGAGGCCCTCCGACGGCCTTCTGTAGAAGCCTCTCAGGTGGGGTCGGAGAAGATCGGGTCGGAGGATCGACCCGCGTCGCCGATGCATACGCGGTGAATTGGCAATGCACCGGCGACGCACCAGCGATGCATCGGCGTCGTCGGCAAGGAGAGATTCGGGCTCCACATCGAGCCGCATCGCCGATGCATCGGCGCGGCGCGATCCTCCAAACCCATCTGGGAGATCTGGACTGGGACGCACAAGGACATACTAGTACTGTGTCTTCTTCTCGGAGGCGTGCGTCCGACCCGAACATACAGCATAAGTTTAAGCATCTTGTACCACATCGCTTCCCGAGCGCTATGGTCAGAGAGCGCCCGCCAAGCAGATTACACAGTGAGACTTCTCGGCGCGCGCGTCGTCCCTTGAAGGGCGACGCACATACACACCATGTGGCGGTGACGCCGATGGGACTTCTGCGGCTCCCCTGGGGAAGCCAGAAGGTTCCGTACCGCTACTCCCCAGACCTCTCCCGGGCTGCGTCCTGACCGGGCGAATCTGGCGGTGGCGACGAGGGCCTCCCGGGAGGCGCCAATAGGCGAAGACGAGAGTCAAAGGTCGGGGTAGGGGTACCTTTTTCCTCCTCCGATCCTCGAGCAGGCTGGAGGAGCGCCAGCGCTCGGCCAGGTACTCCCCGACCTGGTCGGCCAAGCGCCGCGAGTCCCCGCGCGCGGGGTGCCCGAGCGCCAGCACCGCCGCGAGCGCGGGCAGCGCCAGCCACTCCGAGGAAGACGGGAGGCCAGACGCGTCGTCGTCGTCGTCCAGACATGATCGCGTCGTTAAAAAATCAAGACGGGAGGTTATTGCCCATTTTCGGGCTCAGAGGGCCCTCGCCGGGCCTCGGGACCGTGAAAAAACAACTCAGGATGAAAAGCCGGTCCCGGGGAATGGGTCGAGACCTCTGGGAGTCGACGTCATGGGAAAATCATGACGTCGGGGGTCTGGGGTCGTCGTCGTCGCGACGACGACCACCAGGCCAGACGAGCAGCACACGCACGAGCCAGACGCACCAAAACTCGACCCAGGCGGTGAACTCCCGTGTTCGTTGTTTGCGCGTACTCGTGTTCCCCCGCGGTGGCTCTTCCGCCTCCGAGTGCTCGCCACCCCCCCGCGGCTGGCCCGTCCTCCCTTTGAGCAGGGACCGACCGTCCCAGCATTTCTATAGGCCTACCACGAATTGTTTTTTAGAACCCACAAAAGTGTTCGAACCACAAAAACCAGGTTATTGGAACATGAACCCGGTGTGTTAAAACAGGACAGTCCCAGCCAAATGTTCTAAGAACATCTCGTGCAGACCACCAAAGGTTCTTAGAGCATTCTTTGGTAGGACTATTGCCACTGCTTGAGGTCCCTCCTCCCCCCTCCTACATGCCGGCCAATTCGCTTTGTAGTGTCTCTGCATCGCTGCCACGCTGGAGCGGATTGTCCCGCCTCGCCGCCGACGGAAAGAGTTCCCCCGTGGCGGCTCGGTCCCTCCCTCGCTGCGGAACGGCATCGAAGCGAGGGCGGTCCACGGAATCGCCAAAGCACTCCGCTCCACACAGCAGACATGAATAGAGGCCGCCGGAAGGGGTCTGATTAGATGGAGTCGGAGCATCGTGCCGCGTCGCCGATGCATCGGCGTGGAGAAAGTCGGGCATCGCATCGCGCCGCATCGCCGATGCATCGGCGATGCGGCGCGATCCTCCGATCCCATCTGCTCCGACCCCATCTGGGAGGCCTAGAACATACGATCGACGACGACGACGACGACGACGACGACGACGACGACGACGACGACGACGGATCGGGCGGGCGGGTCGGGCGGGTCGGGCGGGATGTGAAAGCGGGCGGGTCGAACGGGCTGTCAGGCCAGGCGGGCGGGGCGTCGGACCGTGGCGGGAGTGACACGGTAGACACACAAAGATCAGAACTCTTGATGTAAAAAAGCTTGGGGCACCATGCTTCGTCGATCTTTGAGCGCCCTTCTCGGGTGCCCCAGAGCATCTGCGGCCACCTGGGGCCAGCGAAGCATCAAAGATTGCCTTGGGCTACCTGCTGACAGGCCGGTTTCATACTGGATATGCTTACTCTGGGCTTAAGCGCAAGGGGGGGTACCCCCCCGACGGGGGTCAACCTCGCCTCGCCGTCGCGCCGCGACGGGGGTCGGAGCGCCTTCGGCGCGCAGTGGCTGCCCGCCACGGGGGTCGATGTGGGGCTGTCGTCGGGGGTGGCGACCCCCCCGCGCTTCTCAAGAAACTCGGAGTACTCTGCAGAGAGAAAAGCGGCATAGACATACAGGGCAGGTTCTAGTACATGGGATGTTCAAACATACGGGATTTTAAATCCCTGATTCATGTATGAGCAGATCTATGCATGAACTCCTCGTTGTTTTCAAGACTAGATCCCTGCATTTTTGATACATGATCCGCACGCGGAGCATGTATTGAAAACGGCACTGTATGCTCAGAGGTCGGCGCGGACTTCCTGGCCTGGCGCCGGGCCCGCCCTGGCGGCGCCACCCCTGCGGCGCCACCCCCGGCACGCCTCCCTCGCGCGCGCGTGCGCGAGGGAGGCCCGGCACCCATCCGAGACGTCCGCGCCGCTCTGCAAAACCTGGTGGATACAGGGCAGTGTTTCACACATTGGATTTTCAAAAAAATAGAGAACTTGTAATCCATGGTTAATGTATGAATAAATGTATGTATGAACTCCTCGTTTTTTATACTGAATCCCTGCATTTTTCATACATGATCCGCACGCGGAGCATGTATAAAAAACTGCCTGGTACTCCAAATCCCTTGTTAATCGACTCCCCCTAACAAACCAGACCCCCCTCCAGATGCGACCTGATATTCTGGACCCCCCTCTTCGACGGGCCGCCTTAGTAAACCGAACCCCCTCAGCTCCCATCCAAAGCGAGCGCCCTCATAAACCGGACCCTCCCAGTGACAAAAAAGGCGCCTTAGAAGACCGGAACCGGGGGACGATTAATAAGGGATTTGGAATACACACGCTTCTAATGGGGACCTTGAGGAGGCCCTCGGAGGGCCTTCGGTCGGAAGGCCTTCGAGGGGCCCATCGGAATTTTCTCGGAGCACTTCGCCAGGCCCCCGGAGTTTTCCGGAGACCTGCAAGGAGCGATCCCCGCAGGATGCGCCGCTGCACGCCCAACCGAGCCTGGCCAGGGCCACCTCTGCGCGCGATGCTGTGGCCCAGGATGGCCCCTGCCAGGCGTGCGGGTGGCGGTGCGCCAGCGTTGGGTCGGGCATAAGCGAATGTTGGACGTCGAATAAAAAGCAAATGCAAGAGTTGTGCAAAAAACAAAAAGTATTACAACAATCGTCCCCAGACTAGGTTGGACATGCCCGACTGCACGCGCATGCCGTCGGCAGCCTCTTGGGCCAGCCTCGGACCCCTCGCTGCACACCCGCTCCCTGGCGCGCCGTTCGCGTATGTGCTGGCTGGCGGCGAGCGCGGGGGGGAAGTGGGAAGGAGCGGGCCACCTCGGAAGGTTCGGACGCTCCCTGGCCTCCCGAGAAGTCGTCTGAGCCCTCCCCAGAGACACCGAGAAAACACTCCGCAGAAGGCGCGAGGGCATCTGAGGAGTCCCGCCCGCCTTCTGAGAAGGCCTTCTCCCTCCATGCCGTGCTCTACAATGCATCGCGTACCCTTTCGGGATCATCGCCCTGCTTGGCATCCGACTGTGCCATGGTAAGGGATGGCAGGGAGGGGTAGGATGTCAGATATGACGCGAGCGCACCTAGCTTGTCCCCCCTCCCCCCCGCCGCGCACGCCGCCGAGCTGGGGGGCAGCGCTGGAGGCGCAGGCAGGGATGCCATGTGTGGGGGGATCCCAGCGCCGACCCGCCGAGCGATCCGCGCGAATCCCCAGGCAGCGGGGGCGTCCCACAGCGGTGCGGCCACAGACTGGGCGGTGACCCTAGATCCTCCTCCTCCTCCTCCTCCTTCTCCTTCTCCTTCTCCTCCCCCTCCCCCTCCTCCTCCTCCTCCTCCCCATCCTCCTCCTCCTCCTCCTCCTCCTCCTCCTCCTCCTCCTCTTGACCTCCTTGTCCTCCTCCTCCTCCTCTCTCCTCCTCCTCCTCCTCCTCCTCCCTCCTCCTCCTCCTCCTCCTCCTCACTCCTTCCTTATAAATTCGCCGGCCCAACGGGCCAGAGGCGTGCTAAGATCTCCGGTAACTGGTTAACAATTCTCTAGTTCGCGCGCGCGGGGCGGCCCCTGGGGGTCCACGGACGAAAAGTACCCCGGCAAGGTCCTGAGAGAGTCCCGGGAGGAGTCCCCCAGAGCGCTCCAGGAGCGCTCCATGAGCGCACCAACAGGGCTCCGAGACGTCCCCGAGAGCCCCAAGAAAGGCCAAGAGGCCCCCAAGAGGCCCCCAAGATGGTACACGAGGGGTCCGACATGCCACAAGATCGCTCCAAGACGCCCAAGATAGCCCCCAGACGCCCCAAGAGGCCTCCAAGAGCACTCCCAAGAGGGCCCCCGGAGGCAAAATTCATTGTTTTTCCTTAGGTTTTTGAGAGATTTTGGAGCTTCCACCTTTTCGGTTCCCGACGCCCCAAGACGGCCCCAGAGGCCCCCAAGATCGCCCCAAGAGGGCCCAAGAGGCCCCCAAGAGGGCCCCAAGATGGCCCAAGAGGGCTCGAAGACGGCCCAAGAAGCCTCCAAGACGGTCCAAGAGGGCCCCAAGAACACCCCCAAAGGGGCCCCAGAGAGGGAACACGAAACAAAATTTCGAGCCCTCGGCCCTAAGAAGCCCCTACGAGGCCCCAAGAGGCCCCTAAGAGGCCCCAAAAGGCCCCCACGAGGCCCTCAGGAGGCCCCCAAGAGTCCCCCAAGCGGCCCCAGGAGGCCCCCCAAATGCCCCCCCGAGCGCCCCAGGAGTCCCCCAAGCGGCCCCAGGAACCCCCAAAGCGCCGCATTGACACCAGGCCCTCGGGCAAACGGCAGACATGAGACCGTATGGGCCGGCGGAATGAGCGAAGCGATTAAATAATGCTTCCCTGTCGCACCCCAAAGCCAATGTTTGGGGCTGCCCCGTCGTTTCGCCTCAGACTTCCTCACCACTTATGACTCTGAAGCTTAGAAGATGGCAACAACTTCGCAGATGGAGGGCGGGTCGTTTTCAAAATGTGGCTATCGCCTTCGCGCCGCGCACATTCGTTTTAAACGTTTGCAAGACTTGCACGGCTTGAGGCCGAGTCGTTTTCACAATGTGGCTCTCGCCTTAGCGCCGCGCACATTCGCCGTAAAATAATGTAAGAGTTTCACGAGTTCCCATGGTCAACGTACCAGAAATAGTGTGTTGGACGGAATCCGGCGTATCAGGGTGCACAGGTTATGTTGATTCGCGATGTTCAAATCCCAGGAAGGGCGTTCTGGCTCGATTCAGGATCGTCCAGACGCAGCAGTCGGGTTGATCCGTGGCGTTGGAATCCCGAGAACAATGTTTTGGCACGCTTCAGGTTCTTCAAACAGTTGTCTTCCAACGAGGCAGTTCCCTCAGTAAAAATGAACCGTTGTAGGGGCCTATGAAGAGGGAGCTTGGGTGGAGGGTGTATTCCAACATCGTTGATGCCTCTTGGATTTGCACTGGTCCTCCTCCTCCTCCTCCTCCTCCTCCTCCTCCTCCTCCTCCTCCCCCTTGGCTGAAGACCTCACCGCACGGTCCGTGCCGCACTCACCACTGGGGCCTTGGAGGCCCCCGTCGCCCGAGACGCGCTCTGAGAGCGACGCGAGCCTCAAAGCCGTGCGGCCACCAAGAAGCCACGCTGACTCACCGCGCAGTGTATTGACCGCACGGTTTGCGGGCCCTCCGCAGGGAGGAGGAGAAGCAGGAGGAGGAGGAGGAGGAGGAGGGGGAGGAGAAGGAGGAGAAGGAGGAGTAGGAGGAGGAAGAGGAAGTACGAGTGCGAGAGTATGGACAGGAGCTCGGCGTCTCTGGCCTCCCGGAGGAGGACTGGCCCCTGCAATCGTCGGGCTCCAGGAGGAGGCCTAGGGCCAAGTGCTGCACCGTCGCCAGCGACCCGAGCGCAACGAGCTCCAGCCTGCAGGGGGGAGCTCGACCACAAGAAGCCTTCCACCAGTAACCCAACCGAGAGACCCCAGGACGTCCATTGATGTAAGGGGAACGAACAATGACACAAACATAACAACTCGGAGGTCCGCGCGGACCTCCGAGTTTTTATGTTGATGTCATTGCTCCTTCCCCTAATTGTGGTGTGGGGAAGTGACGCTTTCCATAGCAAAGCCATCGAAGCCCAAGAAACCCAGGGCACCCTGGAGGCAAGCACGGCGGTTCCTTGGCAGGGGTTCGCAGTAGGCACATGCAGTAAGACGTCTTGGCACACCAGAGATGTTAGGGCACATTCTTCATTCATCTTTTGGAGTGCCCACGGTGCCCCGAAGAACTTCTGCGGGTCCCTGGGCCCACCGGGGGGAGGAGACCTTTCCGTGGGGCACCGGTTGGTAGGCGGGATTCTTACTTGCCGCGCCTGCCGCATGGAGACAACTCTTGTATCCCCTGGCGATGACGGGTGTGCCCAAGATCGGGAGCGGCCAAGAGGGGGGTGTCCAAGAGGGGGGAGTGCAAATCATGACTGGCGGTATGTGCGCGGCCCAGCGGGGGGGCCAGGGACGTAATGAAATGAGAAGAGGCGACATGAAATCTGTGGAAAAATCATGGCCCGCGCCATGAAATCCACCCCCACTAGTCATCACCCCCCTCTTTTCCGCCCCCGACAGGGGGGAGGGGGAGGTGGGGGAAGGGGGCCGGTCACGTCACGATTTACGTGAGGCGCCGTCTGGGAATGGCTAATTCCCAAACTGCGCCAGGACGAGCCGTGGCGTGACCAAGAGGAGGGGGAGGGGGGGGCGGGGCGGGGCGGGGCCGCTCACAGGCGTTGGCGCGAAGAATGAACGGCCCGAAGGTGTTGTTCCTTCTGCCCGGGTCGTCACTGCTTCCTCCCGTGGTGCGCTCCAGCATGTCAGCTCAAGTTTGTCCAGCGTACACTTAGGTCGGGCGTGTCCTCCCACAGCCGGATCTTGAGCGAACGACGAAGAATAGTCCAACAAGGCGCAAACAGAGCAGAAAATCCGACTGCTGTTTACTACTGTTGAAGATTCCTCCTGTAGAGGGACGGGCCCGACTTGAGCGTAAAGCAGAGGGCCAGCTGCAAAGTCCGGCACACGGTGGGCGCCTGCAGGCCGTGCCCGCTGCGCCGGCCCCGTGCGGCAGAGAGGGCGCGGTGCGGTGCTCGCCCCGGCCCGCCGTGCGCACTCTCCCGCGCGCCACGGTTGGGTCGGGCACGTCCCCCTACAGGCGGATGCTGGACGGAAAATCAAAGATGCAAACAAACATATCCTGGCGAGGGACCCCGCCATGTGCAGTTGTGAGTACCGCAGCGGTGAATATCTTCTGCGGTGGCGCTCCCCATGGGGCCACGAAGCGCTGTACCGGGTGGGGGAGAACGCACGCGGGCGGTAGCACTGGGGCCGTCGGTGGAGCTCAGTATGGGGCCACGAAGCGCTGTACTGGGTGGGGGGGAGCATGCGGGCGGTAGCACTGGAGCCGTCGGTGGAGCTCCCTATGGGGCCACGAAGCGCTGTACTGGGTGGGGGCGACGCATGCGGGCACCCCCACTGGGACCTTCAGTGGAGCTCCGTATGGAGCCACGCGAAACGCTGTACTGGGTGGGGCGGACGCATGCGGGCACCCCCTGGGTGGGAGGGACGCGTGCGGGCACCCCCACTGGGATTGTCGGTGGAGATCCCTATGGGGCCACGGAACGCTCTACTGGGTGGGGGCGGACGCATGCGGGCACCCCCACTGGGGCCGTCGGTGGAGCTCCCTATGGGGCCAAGAAACGCTGTGCTGGGTGGGGGGGGGGCGTATGCGGGCACCTCCACTGGGACCTTCGGTGGAGCTTCCTATGAGACCACGAAGCGTGTGAGGTATGTGTGTGTGTGCGCGCCAAAGAAAGGGTTGTGACGGGAGGAAGGACAGGAGGAGGAGGAGGAGGAGGAGGAGGAGGAGGAGGAGGAGGAAGAGGAGGAGGAGGAGGAGGAGGAGGGGGAGGGGGGAGGAGGCGAGGAGAGGAGAGGAGAGGAGAGGAGAGGAACGCGGAGACCGTCTCTTCAAAACGAGGACCCAACACCACAGGATGGTTGGGAACCAAACTCGAAAGCAATTGGGAACACATGTCCCTATACTAGTGTTTGACTATGATCGGATATTCTTCCTGTAGAGGGACATGCCCGATTTAACGTCACGGCTCGGATGCAGACCAGCTGCATTGGAGTGTGCTTCTCCTCCGCACCCATGGGGGGCCCAACAAAAAATGCTCCATGAGGGGACTGGGGGACTCGCTCGGGGGGGGGGGCGGGGGGGGGGAACATCGACCTGGCGTCGGCGATGCATCGCCGACAGATCGGAGCCAGGCCCCTGGCAGCAGAGCCCCGCGCTCCTTTCTGGATCACCCAAAAGGGGGTCCAGCTGCAAGGGGGTGGAGCAATAGATGTGGGGCAATTGTATTGCAAATGTCTTGCGTCGGAGAATTGTATTGCATGGTATTGCAACTGATGTATCGCACGCGGACATCCAGCAATGCAGATCTGCCATGGAATGTACTGCACGCCACATATGTACTGCAACCCCACACATCTATCGCAACTAAAAACAACTTGCACCACCCCCTTGTCGCTGGACACCCTTTTGGGTCAACCCGATCCTTGGCGGGAGGGGGGCCAGGCCCCGATCGGCGAGAGGCATGGGACCCCCGGGCCCGGTGCAGGGCCCCCCCGCGGAGGCCGAATTGACTTGAAGTCAATTCGATGTCCAATTGTCTGTCCAAGCTTGAAATTTCGACTTGAAGCCGAATTCCCCCCCCAAGCAGGGACCCCCCAAGAACTTCCGTCGCGCGAGGATGATGTTGCCCCTCTGGGCCAGTGCCGCAGTGTATCGGATCCGCACGCATCTACAATTACGTCGGGTCTGTCCCTCTACAGGAGGAGCATTCAAAACAAATATTTAAAAACCCAGTCAGGGGACGATGTTTTGACTATTTTGTATAGTTCGTCCAAAACCCGCCTGTAGGAGGACACGCCCGACCCAACACTACAACACATTCTGGTGCTCCGATCTGCGGGGGGCTGCGCAGATGGCAAGCCCTGACATCCGCCGATATGATGTTTGCGATCCGCAGCCCCAGGGCCCCTCAGCTGAGGATCGAACAACACGCACCCATACCCATAGGGGGGACGGAGGAGGCTATGGGTGCGTGGTGTCGGATGGGGGTCCCCGCTCGAACGGGAGCTTCCCCGAGGGTCCGACAACTCGCACCCATACCCATAGCCAGTTCCCCTCCTTTCGACCCTCCTATGGGGTATGGGTGTGGGTTGTTCGCTCGTCATGAGCCCCCGTAAAGGTGATTATGCGTCCCGGATCCGTTCTTGGTGGGCCGAAATTGAGGAACGGCTGCAGGACCGAAGCCAGACAACAACATCGCCAGAGAAATACAGGGACCCCGAGATCGAGCTGGAATTCCGAAATGCAAATCGAAACTCTGAAACACTGACCAAAGGCAAGAGTGGCCTATGGTGCGAGGCTTCTGGGGGCCGACAGGGGGCCAAATCCAGGCGCGCAAGCCGATGCTGTCGCATCGCACCTCGGCGAACTTCGGCGATCGGAGGACCACAGTGGGCCACCATCAAAGGTCACTCTGGCGAAGGGCCACTCTTGCGTGTAGCCAAAACCCAGACCCCCGACGTCATGACTTTTTGATAACGTCGGCCCCCGGAGGTCCCGACCCATTCCCTGGAACCGGAGTTCATCCTGAGTCGTTGCTTTACGGTCTCGCGAGGACCGGCAAGGGCCCTGGAAGGCGAACATGGGGAAACTTCTTCCGCCGTGATACTTCATGACTCAAGGGGGTCTGGGCAGCAATGCCATTGCTGGGGAGACCAAGAGGTGCCGATACCGCTGCTCCCTGGACCTCTCATGGGGTGCGTTCTGACCAGCATGTCGAGGCGAATCCAGCTGTGGCGACGAGGGCCTCCGAGGAGGCCCAAAGAGGGGAAAACGAGGGAAGGGCAGAGGCATGGGTACATTCCCAGACCCCCGACGTCATGATTTTTTCATGACGCGACCCCCAAAGGCCTGGACCCATTCCCCAGGACCGGCTTTTCATTCCGAGTCGTTTTTCGACGGTCCCGAGGCCCGGTAAGGGCCCCCAGAGGGCGAAAATACTGACCCCCCCCCGCCATGATTGTTTCATGACTCGAGGGGTCTGGGTTCTCCTCCTCTGCGTTGCCCCCCCGAGCAGCCGTCGCGGCAGGCCCCCGGCGGTGTCGGGCACCACGGCGGCCACCACGAGCAGCAGCCCGATCCAGAGCGCGGCCCCGCCGTCGCCGGGGCAGCCGCCGCACGCCTCGACCGCGCCGCCGAGCGCGCGCCTCCTGCGCGGGCTGTTGGGAGGAGGACTGTTTCTGCAACACCCCATAGCCCTCCTCCTCCTCCTCCTGCTCCTCCTCCTCCTCCTCCTCCTCCTCGTCCTGCTCTCCTCCTCCTTGTCCTCCTCTCCTCCTCCTCCTCTTCTTCTTCTTCTTCTTCTTCTTCGTATTATTATTATTATTATTCTTCTTATTCTTCTTCTTATTCTTCTTCTTTTTCTTATTATTATTATTCTTATTCTTCTTCTTCTTATTATTATTCTTATTATTCTTCTTATTATTCTTCTTCTTCTTCTGCTTCTTCTTCTTCTTATTCTTCTTATTATTCTTCTTCTTATTCTTCTTCTTCTTCTTCTTCTTCCTCCTCCTCCTCCTCCTCCTCCTCCTCCTCCTCCTCCTCCTCCTCCTGCTCCTCCTTGTCCTCTTCCTGCTCTTCCTGCTCCTCCTGCTCCTCCACCAGGTTTTGAAGTTTCTCCCCACCCAGTACGGCGTTTCGTGGCCCCATAAGGAGTTCGCCCGACGGCCTCAGTTCTACCGCCCGCATGCGTTCCCCCCCACCCAGTGCAGCGCTTGGTGGCCCCATAGGGAGCTCCGCCGAAGCCCCCAGTGGGACCGTCCGCATGCGTCCTGGAAACCAAATGTGGCACACCCCTCATACGTTTCGTGGCCCCATAGGGAGCTCCACCGAAGCCACCAGTGGGATCGCCCGCATGCGTCCCACACACCAAATTTTGCATTTTCGCCCCACCCAGTACGGCGCTTCGTGGCCCATAGGGAGTTCGCCCGACGGCCCCAGTTCTACCGCCCGCATGCGTTCCCCCCCACCTAGTGCAGCGCTTCGTGGCCCCATAGGGAGCTCCACCGAAGAAAATATTCACAACTGCGGTACCCACAACTGAACTGCATATGGTTGGGTCCGTCGCCAGGCTAATTTATTCGGCGCTCGACATCGGGAGGAGGGGGGGGAGGGGGGGTCTTGCTCCCGACCTCTGCTTAGTGCGACTGCTTGCAACAGTGCGTCCAGTGGGAGAGGGACTCCACCTGCCTGAAGCAGGCGTCAAAAAACAGCGAAGATCTGCTCCACGGGGGAGAGGGGGAGAGGGGGGGGTGCGAGGGCCCGCGTCGATCGGCAAAACAATAAATAGAAAAACGCTCACCACCTCCCTCGCACCCGCCGATCTGATTCTTTCAAGCCATGGCCCCCGTGGAGGTCCCGGCCGCCTCCCTGGGGAAATCTCGTCCTGGATCCATGCTTGATGGCACAGGGGGCCCCGAAGACTACTCAAAATCCTTTATTCATCGTCCCCAGGGTCCGGTTTTTTAAGCACCTTTTTGTCACTGGGGGGTCCGGTTTATTAGGGCGCTTTCTTTGGATTGGAGCGTAGAGGTTCCGGTTTATCAAGGCGCCCCGTCGAAGATGAGGGTCCGGAATATTAGGTCGCATTTGGAAGGGGGTCCTGCTTTTTAGGGGGGGTCGATTAATAAGGAATTTGGAATACCCACGAGGGCCACAGTCGATGAAACACACCTGGATGCACAATTTCACATCGTCAGAGATTTGGGTCTGGCGAGCGGCGGCATCGGCACAGTGGGGGCCCATGCCAAGAAACGCCCTGCTTGCCTCCAGGGTGCCCTGGGTTTCTTGGGCTTCGATGGCTTTGCCGTGGAGATCGTGACAATGCCATACAAGAAAACGATGGGAGTCCTGGGGTCTCAGGGTTGGGTTTCTTGTGGAAGGTTTCTCGTGGTCGGGCCCCTGCTGTACCGCTTCTTGCCCTCCCACCCATCCTGCGGCTTGGTGCCCCGGCGCTGATCAGCAAGGAGGCCGCCCAGGCCAGCAGCAAACAGGCCCACCGCTCGCTCCCGGGGCCCAGGCGCGCGGTGAGGCGGAGCACCGGGTAGGCCAGCAGCGCCAGCAGCAGCAACAGATCGCAGACGACGAGGGCGGTGCGTGGACGGTCCTCCGCCGGGCCTCGCTACCCCCGGACCTAGCTCTCATGGTGAGGCCTCGGGCTGCGCACAGGCAGCTCCCCCGGGCAGCCCTGGCTGGCCTCCGCAGGCTCCCTGGCTAAGCCCAGCTGGCCTCAGCCTCAGAGGCGCGCGATCAGCGATCCATGAATCTGGCGCGCGGCAGCCACATCCATGGATCGGGGGAGGTGCTGCGATCGCCGCCGCGGTTTGGGTTCGGTTAGCGCGATTAGTATTTAGGTTATAAGTAACGTATAAGTTGGTTGTAACCAACTTATAAGTCCAGTGAACCAATCATAAGTCCAGTGAACCAGATAGAGCACTTCATGATCACATAGAGCACTTACCAAGTTACTTAGCGCTAACTTGTGTAAGCACTTCGCACGGTTAGCTAACTAGGTTAGCATGATTAGCTAAGTAGGGTAGAACCAGTAGCTAAGTAGGTTAGCTAACCTACTTAGCTAACCTACGTAGCATCAGCTCAGGTCACGAAATTCAAATAGAATTCCACAAAATTCGAATGGAATTTCACAAAATCCAAATGGAATTCCACAAAATCCGATTGATATTCCAAACAATCCAGATCGAAGTCCACAACATCCAACTAGAAATTACACGAAACCCGAATGAAATTCCACAAAATCCGAATGGAACTCAACAAAATGACCGAATTCGAAAACATCCAAGTAGAATTAAAACAAAAAACAAAAAATAATTCCGCAACATCCAAATCGAATTCCACAAACACCAAATCAAATGCAATTATACAAAATCCAACTAGAATTCTACAACATCCAAGCGGAATTTCACAACATCCAACTTGAATTCCACACATTGCCGCGCCTCAAACGCACATGGTACGATGTAACATTCATCATAATCAACATCACCAACACTGCCATCACCACCGCCATTGCTCAATTGTAATGCGCGAGTGATGGCGGCAAGACGCGTAATTGTTTGAGGAATCCATCCCTTGATGCCGAACACATTACAACAACGCGTATAAATAAACAATCGCGTGTTTGGCAAGTCGCATTGAGCAACAAAGAAAACCATGCATTGTGTAAAGTAACATACATGGGCAGACAAACCGATGCGCACCTCAATCGAACAACGGTGGCATGGGTGGAGCTCCGTATGGGACCACGAAGCGTGTGAGGGGCGTGCCAAAATGGGCGGCGCGGACGCATGCGAGCGCCACCACTACAGTGGCGGTGTTCGCATGGGGCCTTGGGTGGAGCTCCTTATGGGGCCACGAAGCGCGTGATGGGGTGTACCGAAAACGCGCGGAGAGCAGAGACGGGGAAGGAGGAGGGAAGAGGGGGCAGCGGCAGAAATATAATAATGAGTGACGCGGGGCGCTGTCACTTCAAAGAGAAAGCCCAACTCTACAGCCTGGTTGGGAACGTCAGATCTACACAATGCCTAACACATACGACCCTAAAGCCGGAACCCAATCCTCTTCGCCCCTGGCACTTCGAGGCGTGGGACAATGCCAAGTGCTGTCTGGTAAGGTTTTCTGTAAAAGACTTATTATTCCAATCCTTCTATAGGAGTTCCGCGTGCATCGCTCCCGAGGGTCTCTAGGCGGCCATGGCGCGTCCCCGGGGCTCTCCAAGGCGTCCAAGACGGCCCATGAAGGCCACCAAGGCAGCCAAGATGCCCAAGATGGCCTAAGATGACACCGAAACTGCCGAAGATGCCTCCAAAACGGCACAAGTTGGCCTCAAGACGGCCCAAGAGGCCCTCGAGACAGCCCAAGAGGGCTCCAAGAGGACCCCCAGCAGGGCCCGAATTGATTTCTGTAAGTTTCTTTTTGTCAGGCTTCAGCATTACCGCCTTTTCGGGCTGCCATCAGCTCAAGCCCAAGCTTCCAAGATTGCCCCAAGACGAGGGGCCTTGGACGGTCCAGGATGGCTTCAATAGATCCCCAAGCTGGCCCAAGAAGGCCTCCGGAGGGATCCGAGATCCAAGACGGCCTTAGAGAAAAGCCCCTCGACGGCCCAATACGGTCCCAAGGCGGCCCCGCGACGCCCCAAGAGGCCTTCCAGACGGCCCAAAGGGGCTCCAAGACGGCCCTAAAGGGCCCCAAGGAGTCCCCAAGACTCCTACAGGAGCACAATACAGCCCCAAGACAGCACAAATGAGCTTCACGAGAGCTCTCCAAGAAGTGGATACTAGAGGCGTCCCATGTGACACCATTCCTCTTCCTCCTGCTCCTCATCATCGTCATTGTCGCTTTCGTCGCCGTCATCGTCATCATCATCATGACCACCATCATCATTCGAAAAACTGCCACCCAGAAGGCTGGGCCAGCACGGTGGCGGGACTTGCCGCAGGCAGTTGGACAATTAGTGCTAGTACGATCACTAGTAGCAGAAGTAACCCAATCTATCCCTAGTATCACGCATTCTAGTCGCAGTAACGGTAGCAGAAGTAGCTGGGAGTGGTAACTGATTATGTGCATCCGTGCTTGCAGCAGTAGCTATTCGTATGGCTTCTTGCGTGCAGTAGCCGGTGTAGTCGCAGGGGACGCGTAGGGTAGACAGTAGTAGAACGGGGAGCCGAAAAGATCAGAGTAGGGTATAGTAGAGTAGAATGGACTGAAATGCTGTAGACCAGGGGCTTCTCGCTCTCTGCCTCTCTCCGCTCGGTTTCGAGGTCGGCGTGGCGCACAGGTCCCGCGCGTTCAGTCCGAGGCAGTCCGACGGCGGTTCGATGCGGCCCGAGGCGATGAGCGGAGCTGAGTCGGTGGATGGAGTGATACATACAAGGGGGTAGGAGGTGGAGGAACGATGATTTCAGGACACCCGAACGATGGAGACGAGGATGATGAGGAGGATGATCAGAGTGAGGTGGCCGAGCGGTCATTCATTGTCCCCGGGTGCGTGGCTGAAGTGGAGATCCGCGGCGCGGATTTTTGTTGTTGTTTTGTTGCGTCGTCCTGGGTGGGTCGCGAGTGGGTCGCGGCGCGGGTGGGTCGCGGGTGGGTCGCGGGGCGGGTGGGTCGCGGGTGGGTCGCGGCGCGGGTGGGTCGCGGGTGGGTCGCGGCGCGGGTGGGTCGCGGGTGGGTCGCGGCGCGGGTGGGTCGCGGGTGGGTCGCGGCGCGGGTGGGTCGCGGCGCGGGTGGGTCGCAGGTGGGTCGCGGCGCTGGTGGGTCGCGGGTGGGTCGCGGGTGGGTCGCGGCGCGGGTGGGTCGCGGGTGGGTCGCGGTGGTTCGCGGCGCGGGTGGGTCGCGGCGGGGGTGGGTCGCTGGCGCAGCGCCAGCCCGCCCGCCCCCTCACTCTTATCCGCAAATGCGGGGCGTTACGTAAGAATGAGCAGCAGGAGTAAGAGTAAGGCGAGGCCCTCGGGGGCCATCTGTCGAAACAATGCTATGCAACATGAAGGTGTGCAACCTGTTTCTGTGCGCAGCGTGCCACACGACTCAAGGGCCCTCCGTGCCGAAATTGCCATGGATGCAAGCATGGAGGCAGCAGCAGGGGGAAGAGGAGCACGAGGCCAAGAGGGGGAAAGACAATAGGATTGCAATGCTACTCCACACACGCCCCAAACTCTTGTTGGCCTTGTGGTCTCTCATCTACAGCCCCTCACTCACAGGATATGGATATATGAGTGTAGACCATAATGAACATGATGACAATGTCCGCTAGGCTGAACAGCGCACGGTTCGCGAACCACCACGGATACAGACAACTGTTCCTTGCGTTGAGTAGATACGGAATGTGAGTATGATGAGGTGAGCGTAGTTGTTAGCACGCCGCTTCAGTGGAGTTCGTAGTCTGAACATGGGTGCAGGCGCTGAGCTCAGCACTCTACACACCGCTGCTCTGTGCAGGGTCTGACCGCGTCTTACTTTGACTGTTGCGGGTCTTCGGGTCCAGCCGGTGCTTCTCCAAGGTAGCAGACTCTTCTGTGATGCACACCCGGCCGGTACGCATCAAAATCTGCAACAATGGAAGGTTGCCGTTTCGCTTTGTCATAGCATCGGCGTACATGCCGGAATGATCAACCCATCGAACGTCCCCGTTTTGAGCGTCAAGTGACGAACGTATGATCTGTATTTCGATCGCTGTCCGGCGGTCTGCCGTGCATCCTGCGCTCTCGCTGTGTAAATGATCGTACAACGACTTGGCGTCACAGATCGTGAGCAACTGTTGCAGCTCTTTGTTCGGGTCTGCTGTCCGGCCAGCTACCAGCAGGCCTCTGTGGCGCGCGCGGGAAGCCCAGTTGACGATGTCGAAAGATGGCTCTACAAGCTCCTCGAAGAGACCGCGGATCCACTCGACTTCTGCTAGGGCTTCCGACATGGACTGCGTCTCTGCCGCAAGGGTGCTGGCAGCCAGGCGCGGCAGACGGTGTGATTTGTACGACACCAAAGCAACCGGAGCTGCCTTGCACTCCCACAGCGCCGGAGTCGTAGCACCGACCAGGAAGGCTCCCTGGCTCTTGTCGCCGGCGGCGTTGGCCCAAGAAGCGTCCTGGATAGTAACCCATCGCAGCAGGTGAGGCGGTATGTGTGGAATCAGAACGCCTAGCTTGGGCTCCTTTTTCAAGATAGCCACACAATCGTTCGCATCACACAGATCCTGGACAGTACTCACACGGATCCTCGCCATCCCTAGGGAAGCAAGCCCAGATACGTCTGGACGCGTTTCTCTCTGCACCCAGTTCACACCTCCCCACGCCGCTCGGAGCTGGGACTGCTCACCGTCAGTAGTAGGGTCGTTTTTGTTAGACTTGCGCCCTTTTGGAATGGAAATCGGGGACAGGCGCTCTACGACGAACTTCGCCTGGTGGATGTGGAATCCGTAATCCTTGTGTTGCTGTATGGTACGACCAGCATAATCACCTTCGCTGCCGTATATCGTCTTCCACTTTCCAAACCGGAGCCGTTGTTGTAGGCATCGCATTTTCTCGTCGTGAATATAATTGCCATGAGCTGCAATGTCGTCTACTTCGATCAACAGATGCCCATCTGGACCTTTGGGCGTCATCAGG